GTAAACCAACTGAGCACAGGCGCATTCTCCGCCTGTAGGCTCTCTTTCGCCTCGGTGAGCCGCGACCTCGCTTGGTGCGGACAGAATTCCAATGGTGCAAGCTGGGTTCTAATTTAAACTACCAAAAATAAGGAAGCCATATTCTTCACTATAGATCCCTGTTATGGAAACTTAAATTAAATTCCTTAACAAGAACCCAGCACGAGCCATGACATTGCAACTAAGCACACCCTCCACAGGGCCCCGAAATCAAAACTGAAACGGATTGCAGGCGCTCCTAGCTTCGATTTTCCCACAGACCCCGAGAACTTAAACCCTAACCTGAAACCTAAGACTCTTAGAACCTTAGAACGTTCAGCCCGAAAGCCCTAAACCAAAACACTGAACTTTGAACTCAGAACTTCAAAGCCCCATTCCCCTAGCCCTAGACCCCAAAACCCCTAAACTGTAAAGATGTCCAACTCCCCTAAACCCTAAACCCCAAACTCTAAACCCTGAACCCTAAACCCCGAACCCTAAACCCTAAACCCTAAACCTCTTTATCCCAACCTGTCCGGTAGGGTCCCTGCCACAGGGGCGGCACGCGGGCTGCCGAGGCTATCTGTGCTTCTTTTGTAACCCTAGGGCTCTAAGGGCTCATGTATTAAAGCTTTTGGGCCCAAAGACCGTACTACGGCTGATGATATAAATCCTGCATGACCCATAATAAGGAATATACTATGATTCCCATAGTTTTGGGTCCTTAAAGTAATGCAGGATTTATATCATCAACCGTATCTAAGGCTTCAGGGGATATTTCGAGCCCTTGAGCAAGGATTTTGTAGACAGGGTTCTGTACAGGCTTATCAGGGCTTTATGAGATCTGTGCAAGAAGTTGCAGAGACTTGTTCTAGACAGTTTATTATACATTATATGCCCCGTCCAGGGATTGTTCATAAGAAGCATCTTACTGCAAAGGGTGTAAGTTCGGGGTCCCTCATGCTCGGAAGCTCGTGCAAGAACAACGCCACGTTCAGAACAACTGCCAACAAACACAGCGCAGAAGGATGGTGGGATTCCACGGGGTGATGACAGCAACCGCATATATATATATATATATATAAGTAAGATTATGTATGGTTCGTAGCGCTGGTGATGGCCGGAAAAGCCGAGGAAGGGGAGGCAATGAGACGACCGATGACACTAATCATTAGTCATCATCGTCAGCTTTGCAATGGTCACACAAAAAACGGTGAAGCCCAATCTCGACGATGTGGGGCCGATTGCTCTTTCGTAGTCCACGTACGGTCGACTTGGTATGCTTGTGCATGCCCAGGTTCAACTTACATCACGACGGGTATGGTGGCTGCATATTGCACAACTGGTGCCCGTCTCTCACACGAACTGCCCGAAATCCGTAAACCTTAAACTTTAAAATTATTAAACCCTCACTAACCCGAAATGCCACACCACTGCCTCAATGTTCCAATAAAATGAACAATGAACTTCCGGAAGCTGTCGCCGAGGATCCGAAACAAACTTCGGCGCGCCTCTTGCAGCCAAGTGTTCAGAGCGGCCTCAGATCTAGGATTGTCTGCTGCAGCAAAATGCAAAGACAGTGGCCCTATTAATCAGATGAGGGGTTTGGGGTAATTGATACACCAGTTACTAGTTATAGGGACTACCGTACATAAGTATTCAGAGCCTATTATGCAACAGCACTAAGACTAGAATTCAACAGTATCTTAAACAGACGAATCAGCATCATCATAGCAGCAAACAGAACACTAAACACGGATTTTCACAACAGGAGCAAGAGTGCTGAGTTGACCACAATGACAAGAGCAACAACATATACAGCAATGTCGTCTAAACCCGAACATTGGCCTGCCATTCGTCCAAGGAGCTTCCAGGCCTAAACCTAACTACTAGCCTCCTGAAGGAAATGGAGTACTACGGTTAATGATATAAATCCTGCATTACCCATAAGCCATAATAATAAGGAATAAGGCATATACCATAATTCCCATAGTCTAAAGTCATTTAGGTAGTGCAGGATTTATATCATCAACCGTAGGTACCTCTTTTCCTGCAGTTTGGCGTTAATAAGGGAGCCCAAAACAGTATGGATAAACGGGTGCCACTGGGGAACATAGTGCATTCTTAAGAAGCGAATCCCAGAGAGTAGGGGGCCCTTTCATGGACAGAGAACCACTGGAACCCTAAGCCCCACACACTGAAACCAAACACATCAGTTGGATCGTCCCCCAAACCCTAAGCCCTCAGCCCTAAACCCTAAGCCCTATAAACCCTAAGCCCTAAGCCCCAAACTCTAATCCGTGATGTTAGGAACCTCCAGGGGCGCCTACAGTAGAAGCCCAAAACGTGGAAACCCAATAGCCTCAATCCTTAAGATAGAAATGCATCGGGAATCCCAGAACTAATTATCCTCAACCCGGTTTCGAGCTTTTTGGGGATTTATTGTACTGTTGCAAGACAGCCCAAATTATCATGCTAGGAGCTTCTTCCACTTGAAGGATCAGGGGACTTGAATACACAGGTCCCCAGTTGGGGATATCAGTTGGTCTGGTCATCCTGATTTAACCCTAGGCCTTCGAATCGAAGTCCTCTACGCCTTTGAGTTGGCTGCTGACAATCTCTGAAGCCCCACTTGGAGGCCCAGGGGACTCAGTAAGTAGGTTATAAGTAGGGATATAATTAGGGCAACTCCATTTAGGGTACTTATAACCCTACTTATAACCTACTTACAAAGTCCCCTGGGCCTCTAAATACACCCTAATCCCTCTTATAGAACCCTTATAGATCCCTTTTAAGGAGCCTTTTAAGGAACCTTACTACTTACTAAGTCCCCTGGGCCTCTAAGCAGGATCTTGGGCTGGGAGCTTAGAGTCTCAGAGCTTCGAGGCTTTGGAGCTTTCGGGTTCAGGGTTTGCCAGCGGATCTGTGAGAGAATCTCCCTAAACCCTAAACCCTTTATGGATCCCTCATAGATCCCTTTAAGGACCCCAATTATAGAGCCCTTATTAACTAGGCCCAAGAGTAACCTAGGACTAAAAAGGGTGCCCTTTTTGGTTTAAAGGGGCTTATAAGGGAACCTGAAACCTTAAAAAGGGAATAAGGGCCTACTCTAGGTCCTAGATCTCGAGGACCCGACAGTGGAAAAGCTTCCCGACTCGAAATCCTTGCGCCAGGCATCCTGACCAGAAGAGCCCAGCATGTTGAAATTTGCAGGTGAGCCAAGGCTCTAGGTCTAGGTTTCAGGGCGTAAGGTTTCGGGGATGCACGGGTTATAGCGAACCCCAGAAACTTGGAACATGAAACTAGGTTGATTAGTGCTGCCCTTTTGGGCTACCCTAAGTATTAGGTGCCGTATTATACTAAGGACCCAAAAAGGGACCATAATTTTGATAACCACCCACTTGGAGGCCCAGGGGACTTACGTAGTAAGTAGGCAAGTAGGTTATAAGTAGGGTTCTAATGGGATAACTCCATTAAGTGTACTTATCACCCTACCTAAAATCGACTTACAAAGTCCCCTGGGCCTCTGGGTAGCAGTTGCGGAGCTTCAAGTCACGATTAGTGTTTAGGGTTTCTTGGCAGATCTCACAGAAGCCACAGGACGAAGTCCTAACCCCAGACCCTACACTCCTTAAACCACTGCCAAAAGCCGCTGGACATCCGAAATCCCGCCATCAAGTCCTCCAGCTCGGAGTCTGAACAAGCCCAAACCCAAGATCCTGACCCTTGCAGGAATCCCTTTTCGTCCTGACTCGCGGGCCCTTGAGCGCAGGGCTGGGACGCCCGGACGAGCAAGGACCTGTAGCTGAAGGGGTTCAGGGCGTCTGGGCAGCCCGATTCGGGGGCAAGGTCTTTGGTTGGTAGGGTTACATCAACATGCATTGCGATTTAGGGTTACTATACTGAACTTGGAACCCTAGCAAAAATTCTAATTTTAGCTGTTTGTTAGGGATTATAATGACGAAAAATTAAAAATAATTCTAAGTACCCGTAGGTTTAGGGGTTTGGGGCTTCGAGTTTGGAAGTCGGCGTTTTTGGGGCTTAGGCTTTTTGGGGGGTTGTGGGTCCTAGGGCTTTTGGCTTTTGGGGTGTAGGAAGGTTTAGGGCGTCTGTGTAGCTGCAGGGCTTCAGGGCTTTTGCGTTCGGCTCCGGATGCTGAGTTGGGGGGCCTTTCAGGGCGACAGTCTCTGTTGGGCTTGTTCGAGTCCTTCTTGCGGCCCGATTCGAAAAGGAGTCACTACGGCTTTCTTGCGAAAGCACGGGAAGTGTGCTGCAGCATTTTTCTAGGTCGGTTAAGGCTGAAACCCTAAACTGAGCAGGGGAGCGTAGTATTCCAGGAGCAGGTTCTGGCACAGGACAAAAGTAATGAAAACAAACTATTTGCTTAGGGTATATGTCGCGATACGCGTCACATGCCACCCAACCTATTGTTAAAACTGTCGCGCACTGCCATGTGGGCGCTTCTGGAAAGCCTATCTGATGTCAGGCTTCGGGTTGAGAGTGTTGCAAAATCCTGTCTCTACCGCCCCACCGCACCCCCATTTTTCGAAACCTCCTTGCTGCTCACCAACCACGCCTTTGGCTTGCTGGTCCTTCGGGAAACCAGGAGGCCTTAAACCGAGGTTCCTCCTAGTCCTCCAGGTTCCCTCGAACCTGGGTAGACATTTCAGCTGTTTCTTCGGAAATAAATGATAGAAACTACAAGTTGTTTTCAGAAAACTCCCTATTCTAGAAACCCCATATACTCGGAAGCTCTGATCACGGATCACCACAGGTGACCTTTGCCAGAGGATACCGTGCTTGCCTTTGGGTTCTGCGATTCCTTCAACTCAGAAACACAAGGTGTAAACCTAATTAAACCAACAGGCACCTGCACGCATCCCTGGTCCCTGAAATGACAAAAACTTCAGCCTGTATCCTATACTACAAGACAGTGAAAAAGTAGCAGGTGTTCCTGACTTCGTCTGGGAAGGTGCCACTTCTCACCTCACACGCACATCCACTCCCCGATTCTTGGTGGTGAACTTGCTCCAGAACCGGTGGTCCTGTGCTCCGCGGCAGACCGGTACTGATTGCTGCTGGCCAAAGACACGCTTGAACACCCACAGACGTCGATTGTCGACTGAAAACCATCGTCCTTCATGCCTTACCACTGTAATGCGAGGAATGTCTGATAAGTGCTTGACACCGACACGCAGTTCCCGTTCCATCTGGCCCAAGGATCGGCCATCTTGGAATTTGTTTTTGATTGAATCTTGGGAATAAAATATCTCTTGAACTGGAAGACGATCCCTCTCATTGTCCACAGTGAAGACGTGCATGGAAATGTCATGCCGAAAATGAACGTTTCGAGCCGGCGGCGCAAACAGTCTGAAATTCGTGTCGGAGAAGACCGTGAGGAGAGAGCGGCGCCTTGCTTGAGCAGGTTGCTCCCTGGGCCGCTCAAGGCTGAGCTTGGCCTCCGTGGTTGCTTTGGTAGTTCCATCACGAAATTGAACTAGCAGCCCATCGGACGTGTCTGGCAGAACGGCTTTGATGGTGGCCCGTCTGCCAAAGAGGACTTCGTTTGAGCCAGCATAGTAGACTTCATCGCCAATGCAAAAGCGATCTCCACAGACCCTTGGCACGGAAACCACAAAGCTGCTCGTCTTCACTGGGTAGTCATCATCAAGCCGGAGCCACACGTACTTGGCGTGAGGTGTGAAGCTGGTGATCACTGCTGCTTGTCCGTAGTAAGACGTAGGTGGAGAGTGATGCTTTGCAATTGCAGATCCAACATAATAGACCTCGGAGCGTCCAAGAACGAACTCTACATGATCAAATGATTTAAAAGGATCCCTACGAATTGTCATCTTTATGTTTCCGAGGCTGCCTTAGCGTGTCCGAGTTTACGCCGCCTAGCTGTATAAGTGTAATACTATTACTGTATAAAAAAATATATATATATATATATATATATACATATGTAAGTATGTATGTATATGTATGCATGCATGTGTGTATATATATATATATAATTATATATATATATATATATATATATATATTTGTATATCTATTTGTTTATGTGTGTGTATCTACGTACGTACTTTATGTGTGTATGTGTATACATACATACATACATAGGTAGGTAGGTAAGTATCGTGTTACTGAGAGCGTAAAGGTTCGTGGGCAAACAGGGGGGGGGGGGTGAGGGCGTGTTTAGAAATCCGCCAGCCCACCGCACCTTCTGGTGAAGGAAAAAGCCGCTGCAGTGGCGAGGCTCCTGCGTACTTAGGCTTGTGTGGCGAGCGAAGTATCCGTCGCCAGACTCCAGCTTCAAAGCAATCTCGTCGCCGTTGGAAGCCGCTCGTCCCAGAATCTCAAAACGATGCCCGAACAAGCAAGAATCCCCAGCATGCTTAAAGCAACCGTTGCCAACGTAGTAGACCCACTGGTGCCTTCGGAACTTGCCAGGCAATGTCGGCTCTCGCCTTGACCAATTCTTCGTGCAGTAGATTTTCCCGTCTGAAAATTGGAGCTTCAACTCCTCGTCCTTGAATACTTGCAACACGCGAGCAGACCTCCCGTAATACTGTACTGCTTTCGGTACCTTGCTGTCACCTGCCCAACTTCCACAGTAGAACACGATGTCTCCCACGTGCAGATGAGTTAAGCCTGCAGATCTGGCTGCCTGCGCAACGTTAGGGTCAGGGGCCTGCTCTCTTACAGGTTCAGTGGGCATCTCTGCGCGCAAGGTGCTGGCACCCAAGGTTTTGCTGAAAGACTTGTCCACTGAAGTCTTAGGCATCTGCTTCGCCAAGCTGTCGGCGGTCCAGACCCGGTCAAAAGCCTTGTCCCGCTTGCGTTCCATTGGTCTGAAAGGAGCCAACGACCACTCACAGCAGCTGCCTCCGCAGCAGCAACTTAAAGTCCTCTTCTCTTGCTTCTTTCAATCTTGAGGAGCAGCGGCAGCATCAGTTGTAGCAGCCGTTCGGGAAAGCGAGAAAAAACAAGAAGCGTGTTTGCACGTGCATGTACAGATCTGGGCTCCTACCGCATTTTGGGCACCCATTATACTATTCATATAAAACCCAGAACGGTATTGGGAATTATTAGGCCCCTATAATACTTTCCTCGACAAACAGCCTGACCTGCACCGCCGATTCACCTGGCAGAACTCGTCTGCAAAGCTTGGCCTCGGGGTGTGGGACCTTGGGCCTAGTCGGGGCGACAAAATCGAGGTTGTGGGGCTTCCTGCGGTGCACGGCTTGTGGGACTTCAATGAGCCTAAGGCTCCATATACCTATATACAGTGTATACTTATGAGCCTTAAAGGGATTCGTAGACAGATAGCCTTAACGGGATTCCTATAGGTACATGAAGAGTTGGGGTGAGCCGCAAAACCCGAAGCCGGGATCCGCGCGCTGTGGGCATCGTGGCCTCGCCCTCGAAGCGGAGGACCACGACGCGCCTCTTGCAGGGTGTTGGAACGGCTTTATGTAATTAACTTTCTTACCGGACCTATCAGGGTTAAATACGGAAATGCAGATGTAGCGTAAGTAGGGTTCAGGGCCAGCGACAGCTACTTCCGAAGCATGATGTTCCGGAGGTTCACCCCGTTGACAGCCAGAGACCTCTGGCTTGCTGTTACGGCTACGGTTGATGATATAAATCCTGCATGACATTAAGGACCCTAAACTATGGGAATTATGGTATATACCTTAGTATGGGTAAAGCAGGATTTATATCATCAACTGTAGAACTTACGTAGGGTTGTACGGGACTCGGGCTTTAAGTTTGCAGCTTACGTCTAGGGTTCGGGTGACGATCACATTGACTGGATTGACTGCTTCCCTGCAGCTTTGGAGCTCACATCACTGTGGCTGGGGAGTGCTTCTCTTGAAGCATTAGGCTGGTACAAAATACAAAACGGAAAAACCTTAGCGGCATAACTGGAGAATCCCCGGCCCCTATGCCTAAAGCCTAAATCAAACTCACAGCCTCTTGGCAGTAAACCTACGCAAAACTCTGCATAAACCCCAATCCTGCTTAAAGCCCTTGAGTGTCTGATTTTTCGGTCCCTGGACAGCCCCAAGTTCGCGACCACGGCCTGGGCTGCAGGAGCCGCTCCAATAGTTGCAGCCTCGGTTTTTTCCAGGGCACGGCCAGTGTGCTTGAAAACTGTATACTGGATAGCAAAGCGTGCTTGTTTCGAAAAAAGAACACTGGACACACGCCGCATTTAACCACCAAGCCGCAGCAGGTGATGGCACACGTGCTAGCCTAATCAAGATAACTACACAGCATGTGATCACCAACCACTGCACAGCCAACCAGACCAACTGAAGTGACCAACCAGCATTCTTGGCCCTGACAAATAGTTCGAATGGGCGTGGAATTCGGCTGGGGCCACGGCAGCTGCAACACTGAGCCCAGGCGTGTGCCGTACCTGTTGCGGATACCACGACATGTCAACGACACAGCCCCGTTGAATAAACAGTGAGTGGCAATTAAAGAACCACAGTTCCCAAACGGTTGCGCTCAAACCTGAGGGCGGATTGATGCAGCCCCTTCCTTTGTTCGTACTAGTAGGATGGGGCATCAAAGAATATGCAAGAGCCGAAACAAGCCCGTGGAACAGCACTGCAAACCTGTTCCTCTGATCGACGGAGCTTCTCGTACTGTGAACGTTTGCTCTGAGGCTGTTAGGTTCGGGTGTCCTGAACCAACGGCACCGAGTCCCACCCAGAGATGACGGATAAATGAGATTAAGCGGCAGTCTTGGCAGTGACGAAGGAGAGCAATGAAGATCCCAGTTTTGCTGCCTGCATGACCTGCCCGGATTAAACTTAACGAAGCAATCATCGCTTGTGGCCGCGCTGGTCCCTGTTGATGTCCCTGCGTACGCGATTGTCGCCGTTTGCAACTGCATGAGCAGAGATGTCCACATTGCCTTGCAGGCTTTCCATTTCGCTCAGACAATAGCCTCGGTCCTCGGTGCAAACAGCACCGGGCAGGCTTGCATGAAAGTCCGTCCAATCCATCCAGAAATCGCTGCGCCGTCGGAGGGTCCAGCTGTTGGGTTGGCTGGCCACGGCTACTTTCCAGCCGCTGTGGTGCACATCCAGAATGACCTTTGCAAAATCTGAATCGTCTGAGATGATGCACACGGTGCCACAGGAGGTCTCAGCTGATATGGGAGCCACTAATCTCAGAAGATCACGCACAAGGAGGCAGTCAGCAGCTTGTGGCTGCGCGGGCGTGATGGTCACGGAAGCAGGCCTTTGCACTTCCGCACCATCTTGCACCAACTTCAAACGAACCCCGTGGGGTGCCTTTTCTGTGAAGGCCTCCAGAAAATCCTGCAAGTCTTGCGACCAGGCACTCGCTAGCGCTGACTGAAGGATGTCATAGTCGTGCCGGCCCAGGAATTTCACAGTTTTATAGCCTAGGCTAGGCCTTTAGTTATAAGGGTACCCTTTTCTCGACTGTTCGGTTTTGCTACGGGAAACAAAAGAAAAAGGGCAAAAGGGTACTACTCGGGAACCTAGTGGCTTGCATAGAGGTGCACAGCCTGCGGGCAGGCGCGGAGGAACCTCTCCTGAAGAGCGACTACGGCGGTTGCCAGGCTGACGTCTGGCGGCAACTTCCTTTACATGCTCAAACCCTAAACCGTCGGGTTCAGTGTCAAGGGTTCGGCTAGCTTTATAGGGATCAGGGGTCAGAAAACATTGAAGCAATCTAGAAGCAGTAAACCTATGCCCACTGTTCCAGCCTCCACCCCAAAGGGCCCAAAGTACCGTTATGGGAGATACTTCCCAAATCGTAATAGTAATTCGTAATACAGAAACCCTACATTCTACTATAAAGGTACTTCGGATCCTTTGGGATAGGGTTAAGAAGTTAAGTACCCATAATAATGTAAAAGGGTACTTTTTTAGTGCAGAAGGGCGTCTTGTTGTCCAAGTCCCAGAACACAAAGATCGGCTCTGGGAGTTCCTCCAAGAAAAATCGGACGAATCAGGATTGGTCTAAAGTCTATACAGAAATATTCATAATAGGGTTTTGGGCTTAGGGTTATAATATAATGTACTGTACTACACTATACTATATTATATAGAAATTGCATACAATGTACTGAACTATACTATACTACCACAGGGTATGGCCAGGCGTACTGCCACTTGCGGATCGCTCTAAATTTGGGCTCCAGTGACAGGCTATGTTCCAGGACTGGTGGGTTCTCTTTGAGCGCAGCTGTCGGTAGTAGATATCAAAATTTCCGCAGGTTCATTCAGAGGATGCTGGATTGGAGCAACCGGCACTTGCACCCCAATGTCCCAAGCATGCAATATACTGGCCTTCATAATTTCCGATCCTATTTTGCGGGGTTCCTTGTTATATTCATAGTATAATCTACCCCCAAAACCCTATTCTAATTGCTAAGGCCCCTATAATATAGACACCACGTTCAACGCCACCCGCAGCCTCTCAAAACTCCTGAAGCGTTTGGTGTAGCTGGACTAGAGAAGTTTTTGCTTTGGGGGCTCCTTATGATGATTCCATTATATGGGTGGTTGTCAAAATGATGGTCTCTTTTGGGGTCCCCACTATGGTACGGCACCTAATATTTGGGGTACCCCAACAAGGGACCCTAATTTTGACTACCACCCATATAAGTCCTTAAAGATGGTGGCTTGTTTAGGTTCCAGGTAAGGACATAACGAGCTACGAGTCATGATGCAAGGGTTGTCATTGAAGGGACAACGTCGCGAAGAAACTTGCCTCCTGCTCCTCCGGATCAGTCGATGGGATCGAATCCTCCTTGCTGAGGGTTTGGTCTGGTTCTCCATGAAGTTTTGGAGGTTTGAAGCACTCGCAGCTCTTCTGGGTGGGTTGAGAGTTTTGCTGGTGGGTTATGGCTTTGTGCTGGAGGGCTGTGTGCTAGATTCTAGATCAAACAACTATCGAACTGCGCCCCTCCGGCATGTTCCCTTGACATGTTTACAGGCTTGCCAATGAAGGCTTCGGGGTGATGTCGAAACTTCCCTATAACAGCTCTGCTTAGATTCATTCCCTTGCCGAAGAGTTGAGCACTGAGCTTGTATGTCAATCGGCCTTCGTAGCGTCTGCAAAACGACTTCGGCGCCGCCGCCGGGCGTGTCTGCAAACCCTCCACCTGACAAGAGTTAGGATGCTAACAGTCAGTACTCTGCCACTAGCACCAACACCACTGTTCGCAGCACAACTGCCAGCAGCCACGTGATGGTCATCATGGCGAAACGAACGAGCACCATGACCAAAATCCCAATCTTAACCAATAGTCATCGTCATAAGCATAATCGTCATCCGCAGCATCAGCATCACCATCGCTATCATTATCATAAACATCATCATTGCCATCGTCGTCGCCAAGGTCGCCAAAGCATTTCCGCAGCTCCTTCAATCGGAAACTTTCACGGAGGCCATACCGATCGCGATAGCTGTGGATTGCTACTTACTAGCCATGAAGCCCAACAGCATCAGTCATCAAGCAAGGCGTGCTAAACAAGACTGTATGACATTATTGGGAACCCCTTGCATCATTTGCCCTCGGCTGTGACTTGAAGTACGTCTACATGCAGTCTGGACCGTCCTTTAAGCTTCAGAACCTATTCGTAAACAATCAAGGATCGCAAGCATTGGCTGGATAGTGCTTTTGCTGGAAGATTTTGCGCCCGAATCTAGAATCCACAAGCTTAAACCTCAAACTCCGAAACCCATTAACACCTGAACCTTAAACCCATGCGGAAAAAGTCTCAAGCCTGGAAAGGCCACAGGCCGAAAGACTAAACCCTTCCCCCAAATCAGTCAGCCCAGAACTCTTAAACCCAAAATCCCAAACCCTAAACCTCAAACCCTCAAACCCCAAATCCCGCGAAAATGCACCTGAGCCAGGCCCTCCTTGGAATCGCCAAGCAGGTGCCGAGGAGGAGGCCAGAAGTTGCCGGAAAGCCCCCGGAAACCGCGAAGAGCCCAGAGCAAGCCTGGGACCCTTCCCGGTAGGTTCGGCCCCAGCTCGGAGAGGCAGCTGTAGCTCGAATTCCATGGGCTTTCATGAGCTTCCTGTCTCAGTTGTGGTTCCTTGCCGGGGCTACCTTATAGGATCCCAACCGAGATTGTAGGTTTTCCTGTTGGGTGAGAGGCTTAGGAATAATTTACGATGGTTTGAGAGGGTTTAGGGCTTCGGTTGCTGACTGACATGTCGCGACGTCATACCTGCAGAGCGAAAGCTTGCTATAATGTAAGTTCTTTGCGGCAGAAGCATGGCTCATGAAGCGACTTGCTCGTCACAAGTCCAATGGTCCAAGTCTGAGCCAACAGGTTTGCACGCAGACGAGCGGGTCAAATTATTACTGGTAAAAATAGTAGAAGACAGTGACAATGATAACAAGGTAACAACCTGCAATAACATAACGACAGTAAGAAATAATGCAACGCTATGCAATGATAATAGTATCCCCCCGTAGAAGTTATGCTGTTCTACTTTACTATAGTATACCTTGCCAAAACTTGTAGGGTGTCTTCGATGGTCGAGAGAAACCTGCTCAGTGTCCACCCAAACAGTAGCACCGAGATAGACTGACAGAAAGAAAGATGCACAGACACACACAGATAAGGGGTCGGGTACAAAATGAGCTATAATGGCGGGGATATTATGTGTATTACTATAAGAGGTGCTACAAGGCAAACTGCAGAAGGATACCTTCAGAAGGACAGAACGCGTGAAGGAACATACATACCCAGGGCTCAATAGCCCAAAAGCTTTACATAGCACGGTCTTTGGGCCCAAAAGCCTTAAAATAGTCCTTAGAGTCCTTAGAGCCTATAACGGGATATGCAAAAGCAAGACGCTGAGCTGCGGACTTGCTTCTCAGATGTGCCCAAAAGCGCCTGGGCAGTCAAAAATCAACTTCGCCCTTACCCATCTAGGCCCCATAGTAGTTTCTTTCTGAAAATACTTATAGGACTACCTTATAGGGTTCTAAACATGAACCCAGAAAGGAACTACTATGGGGCCTCTGGGTAAACCCTAAAACACCAAGGCAATGTGGACGTCTGATACGGTTGATGATACAAACCCTGCATTACCCATCATAAGGCACATACCATGATCCCCATAGTTTGAGTCCTTCAGGTAATGCAGGATTTACATCGTCAGCAGTATTATGCACAATTGTCTTGGGTGATGGGGACTTCGCACGCATGGCAGGAGCTAAACAACATAGGGTTTTGAGTTTAGAGTTGAACCTACACTGACTAGAGGTCGTAACTTTTGAGGCTGGGAATGGCTGGGATACAGACTCAGGTTGATGTTACTAATGTTGCTCTTTACGATAATCTGGCTCAGCCTCCCTACGACCAGTTCCCACATCCTCCCAACCGTCACAACTATCTTCGTTTCATTCAGAAGAGCAGGAAGAACTCTCCTGCACAGCGGGTAAAGAAAGACAACTTGGAGGTTCATGGGTAGTTATAAGTAGGGTTATAAGTAGGGTAACTATACTTATAACCCATATTAAGAGACTTATAACCCTACTAATAGCTACCCCTGAACCTCGAAGAAGGAGGAGGCCAGGTCATGATTGACTCTTGCTCTCACCATGGTACAGAAGCCGTGGGGTTTGCAAGTGTGAGCACGCCGAAAGATGCCTGAACCGTAAAGCCCACCCATAGGCCCCACAGTGGTTCCTTCTTGGGGTTCATAGTTGGAATTCTATAAGGTAACATAGGCCCCATCGTAGTTCCTTTTTGGGATTACCTTATAGAACTCTAAACATGAATCCCAAGAAGGAACTACTATGGGGCCTATGGGTAAAGCCTAAACCGAGACATGTGTAAGTGTTCGTCTGGCCCAGCTGGGCCAGGCACGCAGGGCTCAGCGCATCTGCCATCGGATCCCTGGCGATGTTCCAGCGAACATGGTAGATTAACATAAAAATATATACACACAGGAACCGGAATCAGAAACCCTAGATCTTTGTTAGGGTTCTTTCTATGAGTCCTGTGGTAGGACCAGGATTTCTTAATCGATTCCTACATCACACCAGGGGGAAGTACACGCTTGGGTCCAGAGTTGTCAATGCCGTGGTTTCCGGAAAACAGGGGAACCTAACAAAAAGTACCCCAAAGAGTAGGATCCCTTTTTTTCCGAGAAATAGTGGACCCTAATATAGTATCCCAAATAGTAGGATCCGTTTTAGAAGGACCCCGAAATAAGGTACCCCCTAATTTGCGGAAACTCTAAACTCTAAACCCCCTAAACCCTTTACAGAACCCCGATAGATCCCTCAAAGGACCCTTATGGATCCCTTTACAGGCAATAACCCTCATTTTCGGAAACTCCCATCTGGAGACCAATGTCTCTCCAAGAGCTTCAAGCGCGCAGCGAGAAATGCGGAAAGCTTGATGCGTTTGATGTATCGGGCTTGGGATTTAGAGTCTGTATGGGTTGAGGTACATGAACGAAGAAGGCATGTGACTTACATATGTTCTTTCTGTGTGCCTGCCTGGCCTGTCTCTGTGCTTCTGGCTTTTTTGCCTGTCTGTCTAGGCGGCATGGCTGCGTTTGAGTCATGCGTAGCTATGATCAGGCGTCCACACACCGCCAGCCCCCCACGATTGACCCCGACGCGAAATACAGTAAAGTACGGATGATATCAGTGAGTGTGGAATCCCATGCATGTGTATGCATATATGTACAGTTGCCTGCATGCAAACAGATAAACAACATGCATGCGCAGCTTATACACGGTGAGTGGACGGAGCTGCGAGAGCCCTCTTCCCCCATTTCGGATGCTCCAGCTCAGTCTCGAGTCCACAAATCCAGCCGAGAGCTGCACCCAAAGAAATTTGCAAACTCAAGCCTAAACAAACGCGCTGACACCACAAAGCATTACACAAATCACCGCCTCGGCGTGGACGGCGAAGCAGTGCCCTCATCCGCGGAGGACTCTCCTTGTAAGCAGACCGTTGCACTTTGTGGGCTTGCGAGGAGGACACGCAATAGCAGAGTTGGCAGCATGTCGCTGCTGGCAGTCGTGGCCCGTGGTAGTGGTAGGTGTAATTAGTGTTGATTGTAGTGGCGAGGGGCAAAGGGATAACAGTAGCAGCAGTCGTCGTGGCCGTCTTCGTGGTCGTGCTAATATTGGTGACAATACTGGTAGTACTATGTTGCAGTGCTGGTAGTACTGCTGGCAAGTAGTAGTCGTAGTTGTAGTAGTTGTAGTAGTAGTAGTAGTAGCAGCAGCAGCAGCAGTAGTAGTAGTAGTGGTGGTAGCAGTAGAAATCGTAGCAGCAGCGCAGTCCGCAGCAGGAATAGTACCAGGTGCATTGCTACTCTCGCAGTTGTCGTCGGAGTACCATCTTTGTGAGTTCTAGCTGTGATGTGTACCGGAAGTCTTTCGAAAGAATGTCAGGGAATCATGGCTCACTCACACCTACCTTGCATCTACAGCTACATTTCCATTCTCGCTGCTGTTCTTCTGCCCTCGAACAATCGCAGACACAATGACAGAGCACCCTTTATAGATCCTTTATAGAGCCTTCATAGACCCCTTTAAAGGAACCCTAGGAACCCTATAGGTAGATTGCTCGTGCAAGGCCCAGGCCGTTGGGATGCCCGGTTTCGCCACTGAGGATCCTCTGGGTCAGGATCTTGACCTGTGCCTGGAACATAACGGGACCAACAGCAATATAGGGGCCTTAATAATTAGAATACGGTTTTGGGCCCCATTATACTATAGTAGTAATAATAGGGAACGCCCCAAAATAGTATAGTGTCCACCACTTTTTTTTCAATAGTAGTTTCTTTAAAGGGCTCCTTACAGGGGTCTATAAGGGATCTCTTAAATGGGTCTTTAAGGGATCTATAGTAAGGGTCTATAATAGTATGGTATAGGGGGCCAGTGTGAATGCGGCTGCTACCCCTACCCCTCCCAACACTACTTCTACCACTACTGCTGCTGCTGCTACTACTAGTCCTACTGCCACTGCTACTGCTACGCCACTGACCTAAGGAAGCCAACCCCGGCCTGGCGTTCAGCCTTTGGTAGCTTCAGGAAAAGGTCATTCCTGGCCGAGAGGATCTCCCTCCCTCCCTCCTCCCTCGCTATCTTTTTTTTGTTCTCTCTCCCTCTCCCTCTCCCTCTCCCTCTCCCTCTCCCTCTCCCTCTCCCTCTCCCTCTCCCTCTCCCTCTCCTCCCTATCCCTGTCCCTATCCCTTTCCCTCTCCCTCCCTCTCTCCCTCTCTCTCTCTCTCTCTCTCTCTCTCTCTCTCTCTCTCTCTCTCTCTCTCTCTCCCTCCCTATACAGACACAAAGTGTATAGTCACAGGTTCATTTGTGTTCTATATGCATAACCGTAACTGTTTATGTGTATACATATATAATGATGAAAGAACCATCTCGAGCTCGCCCACAGAGTCTACAGATCAACCATGCCGGGTAGACTGGAGCGAGTGCGAGAGGACGTAGGGCACAAGTTCCTGGCAAGACTTGGTGAATACTAGAAACCCGGATACGGATAGGACCTCCTCAAAGACCCAAAACACGCACCTCAGGAAACTAATCCTGAAGTACAGAGCCCGCATTGAAAATCTCATAGCGCCCTGATTGGCATACAACAGCGGTTTTATCGATCGATTCAAACATCGGACCTCGCATGCCTCTTGCATTTTCTGAGCCATCATGTTTCGATAGCACGGCAAAGCATAGCATCGTACAGAACACTGTAGGGTATGACATTAGTATGAGGGCATAAAGTAGTGATACCTGAAGAGTTTAATACAACACAATCTTATACAGTGAAATGTGATAGTTTCATGTTGCGTCGTCTGTCTTCGTCACTTGCGTCCCAGCGCATACGAGCAAACTACCCCTAGGGATCAAAATAGCCCAAATCAAAAGCCTTATATAGTCTGGTCTTTGGGCCCCAAAGCCTTAATATATGAGTCCTTAGATCCCTACACCCTATAGATCCCTTTAAAGGACCCCTTATGGATCCCCGTAAAGGAACCCTATATGAGTCCTTAGATCCCTAGGGTACCCTATTTCTTTTGTCAGGTGCTGAAATCGCACACGGACTCCGAGGATGGAGTTGGCCTGTTGGAGCTCCCACGTGCTGCACCTACCAGGGAGGCAAGACGTTTTTTTTGTTTAGGGTTTAGGGTTTAGGGTTTAGGGTTTAGGGTTTAGGGTTTAGGGCTCCGTTTCGTGACTGCAGATCAGCTCCGAAAGCCCGGTTGAGGCAAAACGGTGTCAGGGTTTGGGGCTTAGGGTTCAGGGTGCCTCTCGGACATCAGGGTCCGGATGAAGGCGTCCAGGCCAGAAGTAGTAGCAGTATATGGGAGTTTCCGAAAATTAGGGGTACCTTTGTACTATCTTGGGTACTACATTAGGGTCCCCTATTTTCGGAAACTCCCAAATCGGAGCATGGACAAACTTCGCAGAATTGGAGATTCAGCGACAGTCTCGTACAACTCTGCATCGCGACTCATGGCCGATGCACTGCTGTCATGCGAGCGGGCAAGGAGCGTCCCGAAACAGGTGATCCTATGTACATGCAACTAGGCCATATACATGTTTCATATACGTATATGCGATGTGTACATACACACATGCGCGAATATCTTACATATACAAGTACATACATGTGTCCATGCATGCACTCGCAAACACATACATACATACATGCATACATACATACCTACATACCTGCATTTACATATATGTATACGACATGCATACATATATACACTCAAAGCTCATGTTGTTGATGATGGTGGTGATGATGATGCTGATGGTGATGGTGACGGTTGAGGTGGTGGTGGTGGTGGTGGTGGTGGTGGTGGTGGTGGTGGTGGCGGCGGCGGGTGTGGTGGGATGACACTGGCGATGGTGGTGGTGCTTGATCCGCTTGAAACTGGAATCTCTGCGATGTTATTCAAGCACGACGTCTTTTACCGCTGTTCGGAATGAAGACTTGCTGATTCGTGGCTATTGTGGTCGCTCGTTGTACCAGTACTAGTATCAGCAGGAGTGGGAGTGTGGTAGTACTAGCAGTGGCAGCAGTAGTAGTAGTAGTAGTAGTAGTTGTTGCAGCAGCAGCAGGAGCAGTAGTAGTAGTAGTAGTAGTAGTAGTAGTAGTAGTAGTAGTAGCAGTAGTAGTAGTAGTAGTAGTAGTAGTAGCAGTAGTAGTAGTAGTAGTAGTAGTAGTAGTAGTAGTGTAGTAGTAGTAGTAGTACTACTACTACTACTGCTACTACTACTACTACTACTACTACTACTACTACTACTACTACTACTACTACTAGTGAGCAAAAGCAATCCACGTCTTAGCATCGGGCATCGGCTCCAACAAGAGGTCGCTGGCCTGTGGTTGACTCACCGTAAAATCTAGATCCCCGAACCCTACGGTTGATGATATAAAATCCTGCAGTACCCACAATAACACAATAAGGAATATACCATTATTCCCATAGCATAGGGTCCTTACGGTAATGCAGGATTTATATCACCAACCCTACATCGACAAAGCAGAAGTTCCATGGCTTATGGTTCTCGAAGGAACTGCACATCAGAAGCTACGGAACTGGCATTCACCTTGTAGTACATCGTACATTAGGCTAGAGTACATTCCAGTATATTACAGCATACTCCCGTATATCATACTAAACTTCACTACATTATTACAGGGCAGATCTTTGTCGAGGACTTGAATTCCAAGATCTGGCCAGTGCCCAAGGGATGCCGATAGGGTTTAAAAGGCCCAGAAGTAACTTAAGAAAGGCCGTTGCAATCTGAATCGGACGCAATACAGTTTGGAACAAGAGCGGGAGATAGTGTTGCCATGCCGTAAGCCCAGAGCCTTTAAACCTTAAATTACTGAACCCTACTCCTAAACCCTTATACCCTAGACCTAAACTCTTAAACTCAAAACCGACAAACCACCCAGTCACAGGAAAGACAAAGGCCGACCCGCATCGCAGGTAGGTAATTATTCAGGATTCAGGGTTTAGGATTTGGATTTAGGGGTTTAAACGTTTAGAACCTTTAGGAACAAGGCGAATCGAAGAGCAGTCCTTCCACTGTTTAAGGCTAGGACGGCTAGGACCACAATACGTTTCGAAACGACATAATCATCTGTCGCAGGGTGAACCTGAAGCTTAAAACCTGGGATCCCACCGGCCAAGAGCCCGAACTTCTAACCGTAAACCCTGAACTTAAACCCAAAGCCTCACAGCCGAATCCCAATGCTCACAATCCCCAAACCTCCAAGCATAGGAAGACAACGCTGTCATCGACATTGCGACCTGCAAGGGGGCGCGGTACGCGACGCCACGGGTATCCGGATCATCGAAGACACGGGTCATATGCTGGCCGTGCAGGTGTGTGTATGTAACGTGTGTGTGTGTGTATCTCTCTCTCTATATATATATATATATATATATATATGTATACATATGTATGTATACGTGTATGTGTACGTGTATGCGTGTGTGTAATTGTGAATATGCATATGGGTATGTGTATGTGCATGCGTATGTGTATGTGCATTTGTATGTGTATGCGTGTACAAATACTTCTGTATACATATATATATATATATATATATACAGATACACATATATACAGATGTGTATATGTATATTTATATATACTACATGTATGTGTAGATGTCACGTATACGTATGTGTGTAAAACCCCCTACATAACATATCGTTAATGAAGATAATAGATAGGTCATTATGCGACTAGACTCTGGGCACATGTAGGCCAGCACCTTACGTATACTCAACACATATTTGCAGGATACGTCTGTAGATACATTGAATACATACGTACATACATATATACATACATACATGCGTGCATAAATACCGTGCAAATGCCTAGTCGCAGTCCGAAAATGCTTGGAATCAGAAGCAGAGCTCCTTGGGTAAGGGGCATGTGTAGTGCACTCGACCATGCAATATGGGGGCCTCATAATGATTAGAATGGGGTTTTGGGGCCTATCATACCTAGACTTATTTACGCCCCTACATTAATTGATACTGGCTCAAGCCGGCCAGGTCATACTACTCTGCCAGAGTATGACTGCTCGATGTAGAGATCTGAACACATACATTCCGACCCCTGCATCTCAGCTCGCCTTCAGGGTATGCCATGAAATCATGGCATGGGAGGGCCCGAGGTGCCCGGCAAAGCGTGACTTTCTGCGAGGAATGCTGCAGGTGGGGTGCTGGAGTATAGGTGGGTAGCCATAGGCCATAGGCTCCAAAAAGGAACATGTGCATTGGCCTTCGACTTGATATTTGCGCGCGGGTGACCTACAGAGAGACGGCCAGAAATCTTCAAGAGTTCAAGCTGGAATCATGTTGGATCATGGGTATCAAGACTTCTTCTGACTAGAGTGTGACGTGCTTCCATACTGAGCCGTACTGGCGCTGCGGCAGCTGGGCAGGGAAGGCAAAGCTGTGTGACCCCAAGCAAATGAAGGGAGACTGCAACGCTTTCTGCATGCCTCTGGAACTCCCCCGCGAAGTGACGCCTCTTCCGCGACCGAAGCGGGTCTCTGACCGAAACGGAGCTTTACAGCCAACTCGCTCTCTCGTTTTTCTTCATCTCCTGCTTCTTTGCGTGGGTGACAACGGCATCCTGGCTCTGCGAATGGCAAGCACGTGGCTTGCATGGATTTCCGGAACTGTTCCTCTACCCCGTCGCTCTTGTGGGTGACCCCTGCTGCAGCCATTGTGCAGCCGGTGCCCAAGCTCTTCCAACGTTGCAGCAAGGCAGATAAAGACACCACTGCAGAATCCGGCCGCTGTCGCCGACTTCTGCGCTGTCTGATCATGGGCGTGTCCGCGAAGGCCTTCACCGTGGGTTGTGACAACACCGCCCTCGCACTGGGGCTGTCCAGCGTCGAAGTCACATCACTTCACCTCGACCTTCGAAGCACCTGCACATGGCTTCGGTTTCGGGGTCATAGGTTTTTTAAACAACCATTGGTTTTTAGGTTTTTAAACAACGGTTCCACGAGAGGATTTATTGCAGGGCAGACAAGGTGGGACTTTGCCCTGCGACCCCATGGTAAGGCCCCCAAAGTGACAGCTGACAGCCAGGGATAGCCAAGGCTTCCTTCAGAGAGCTCACTTAATTAAGGAATTTGGCTCAAATTATATAGGGCTTTATGATCTAAGCTATATTCCTTAATTAAAGAAGGAATTTGGCTCAAATTATATAGGGCTTTATGATCTAAGCTATATTCCTTAATTAAAGAGTATTGGGCCATCTGGGTCCCACCTGGGAAGCAATCGCCTTCTCCAACCTCCTGACGTCGCACTCAGTGTGGCCAGTTGAGGATACTTGAGCCAATGAACCCAGGCCCTACCCTAAGAATGTTGAGCAGCAACGCCGAAGCAAACCGGAACGCCAAAATCTCCAATCACGAAAACCCTACTAAACACAGAACCCCAAACCCTAAAAACTATAAAACCCTAAACCCTAAACCCCAAACCCTAAAAACTAAGCAACCAACCCCCTCTCAGTCCCCGAGCTACTGGAACAAAAACCTCTTCTAGGCCTGACCCCAAAACTCAAAACTGAATGCCAAAAGCCACCATAGAAACCCACACGCCTGAACCCCTAAACTCCTAGACCCTTCAAAGAAGAAAGAAACGAACTTCCTACACCACCCACCCTAGGCCCCCTAGTAGCTCCGTTTTGGGGTTCATATTTAGACTTCTATAAGTCTATAAGGTAATCCCCAAAAGGAACTGCTATGGGGCCTATGGTCCTATGGTGATAAACCTTAACCCCAGCACCCAAAAAAACCTTCAACGACCCCGAACTCCCGCGAGAGGCATTCCTTAGGTCGGCGCTTGCAGCCCGGCGGGCAGAAATTACTAGCCAACCGCAACTTGGCGGCCTGGGACGCAAAGCTCTACCTAGACCCTCCATCTGCCCTTTGTTAGACCCTAGATGCCCCTTATTGGGGGCCATATACCCCTATTTGAGGGTACAAGGAGGGTCCTGGTACTTGAGGTTCCGTAGAGTTTTCTGGGCTTTGGGATATCTTATAAGCAATTCGTGTCTGTAATGGTTTATGTAGGTTTAGGGCCTAGGGATGGTTTATGCAGTAGACAAGATTTCTGCGTTTGGTTGTCTCGTAGAGATTTTTCGTGGAGTTTCCTCTGGCACAGCTGCGTGACTACATGGTAGTTCAGCTTGCTAGAAACTGTGCGATTGTCATGGCCACGGCCGCTGGTGCTGCTGTTGATGGGGATGATTTTGATGATGTGTGGATGAGGATGAGGATTCGACCCATGCTGAGGCTGACGATTATCATGGCGATGCCGACGCCGTGAACTAGAGCTGCATACAGCATATGCATATCTTCTAACAACCCTGGCATACTGGAATTTCAGAAAACACGGGCACGGGGCCCTAAACCTGTCCCCCGACCATAAAAGCAGAACGCATGGACGATAGCATCAGCGCCTGCAACGAGGCAGCAAAGGCGGTCTGCTCAGCGGAAGAGAGGCGATTGCCCTGCAATCGCAAGCCTGTCGTTTCGGGCTTGGGGTTAGGAGACTCAGGGCAGAGAGAAGTGTGCGAATTCAAAAGTATCTTCATACTGTGAAGTTGCCAGCAGATTTTTCTCCTTCTTTCTCTTCGCAAGCTGTGCTGCGATTGAGGACGACATACGAGTTTTAAGTAAAAGACTGTTTACCAAGGTGCCCGGGGGCCGTGCTTTCAGACGGCCGGCTGTTGCCTACTAGGCAGGAACTGTACAGCTAAGGGACTCGATCAGCTCTTTAAGCTCTTTTGCAAGCTGTTTCAGCTGCTTCAGACGCTGCTTCTTGTTGTCCGATTCGAATGCGCTTCGGCGCTTGTCGTTCGCAGACTTGGCGGCCGACAGACCGAGGCCGACTGCAGCAGCAATAGCCACTGGAGCTGCCACCACTTCAGCAGCCAAAAGCGCTAGGCCACCCACTCCCGAAGCACCGGAGAAAATGCCAAGATTCCGAGACCATCCTGCTGACGCCGAAGCTTGCCCATCCAAGTCTTCCACCTCTGTCTCCACCTTGCAGATTTCCGCCTGGACAGGATCAGCAGCCGATAGGAGTCGCACTCGGAAAAGGTAGGATTTGTCGCTCAACTCCTGCACAAGAAGAGCCTGCAAACGATTGAACCCATCATCTCGGCAGGTTTGCTTGCGGCACCGTGCTTGCTCTGCGGCTGCGGCGTCGGTGTAAAAGATTTTGGCATCGGCAAACCCCCTCGAATCCACGAACTCGCGTACCTGCTTCTTGCATTCCTTCTGGCTTCTTTCCGTCTTGAGTGCATCCCAATAGGTCACCAGGACAACAAGGCTAGCCTGGCTGGCCTTAACCTCATTGAGCAGGGTGTCCGCCGCCGTGCTGGTAGGCTTGTTGGCCAGCAAGGTGAGGAACACAAAGTCCGAGCGATGGATAGCATCGAGAGCCTTTTCCTCGTGCTCCTTGAAGTCTGGAGCATCGAGCCCGGGAGTGTCAACCACCAAGATTGTATCGCCGGGGAATTCTTTGACCTCTTGTGTTGTGCCTTGGGTGTTGCTGGTGATGCACTCCTCCTTGCCCAAAACTGCATTGATGATGGTGGACTTGCCTGTGCTGTGTTCTCCAGCGACGGTGACAACCAGGCGAGTCTTCTCAGCAAGGCTCTTCAGCTCGTCATTGTCTGGCAGAAGAGTCGATGCCCTTGTCAACACTTCAGCCACGTTCTTGGCCAGATCGGAATGCCGATGCTGCTGTTTGGTATCTGCCTGTGGCTGCTGTGGTGGCGGCCCCTCCGGCTGTGGCGAGCTGCTCTCAGATGAGCTACTCGACATGGTGCGATTCGTCTGCTTGTTCTTTGTTGCCTCCTGCTTGGTCACCCGGGGCTGCTTCATGAGCGAGCCAAAAGCCTTCCGTGCACAGAGCAGTGCCCAGCACACATAGGCTGCGAAAGCAAAGATGCAGCAGTGAAGAGGGGTGAAGCGTGCATATTGAACAGGAGGGACAGCGACCGAGAGTTGACCGAGTGGTCCATAGACCCTGCGATTGCTGCCACAAACATGTCGGCCCATTCCTGCAAATGCCTTGCCCCCTTCTCCTCGATGCATCCTGCCGAAGTAAACGAAGGTGAAGTCTGGCTTGGCCCGCACAAGGAAGACACCCAGCAGCAAAACCTGCTGGGGCTGTGATGACTGAGGATATCCGGCACGGGTATGGGAACACATGTATTTCGCAACTAGCTTTAGTTATAGTATACCATATTCAATCACGTTTAGGTACCATGGAAGCATGGCAAGAAAACTTCTCATGCACACGACGGCGTAAAGACTCTGCCACAATTATGAAACAAAGTGGCTATCCTCTATGAGGCGAGAGGCGACCATCTGCCGAAATGCTGCCGGCTTGCGGACGAAAGCCACGGCACTTGCCATGCTTAGGCTTCAATAAAGGGGCTTATGTTGCTATAATATTATTTATACATTATTATACTATTATACTATTATATTATCATATTATCATATTATCATATTACTATATCATTAGAGGAGAGCGCAGGATCGCACAAGCCGGAGGCGAAAACGAGAAGAGTCTGAGAGCCAGACTCGTGCATTATCACAGAAGACCAGCCTATTTGGGAGTTTCCGAAAATAGGGGACCCTAGGGTTCCTTTAAAGGGCTCCTTAAAGGGATCTATAAGGGTTCCATAAAGGGTTTAGGGTTCCGAAAATAGGGGACCCTAATATAGTACCCTAAATAGTAGGATCCTTATTATAAGAACCCCAAAATAGGGTACCCCTAGTTTTCGGAAACTCCTATTTTGTGCCACCAGCATGCGACCTTTTTCGGGCAGACAAGGCAAATCCGTTCAGAGGACACGACGGACCAGACAGAAGTGACAGACTGAGCACAGAAGTTGAGCGAAGCTTTGCTTCAACAACACACAACGACGGCGAGGGCCACCGGTGCAGGGTGCACCAGCGTATATACCTAGCTAGCAGCAGCAAGAGCAGGACCTACCTCACATTGATTGTTGTGTTCGGAGATTTATGGAAAACTCTAGCAGAAGATCAATGAACTCCAACGCCAAAATAACCGGTAAGGTACGAGGATCCGTCCAGGTCTGGGTACGTTGAAGGTGAGGGACTCTAACCCTGCATGCGTGAGAAATCCTGGAAATCTTATCAGCCCTGTAAATGCCAGAACCCAGCCAAACATGATACACATGAGCTTTTTTCTACATCAAGCCTCCCTCCCTGATAAACATGCGACTACAGACCCGCAACAGAAACACCCTGAACCCTAAACTCCTAAACCCTGAACCCCCAAACCCCTAAACCCTGGACCCTAGACTGGCACAAGCCCGGCCTGGGAAGGGCCTCTTGTCATGCGCCCTCTTCAACTCGCTAAGGGCATCGCCCATGGCGATGTCGTTCCTTGGGCAGAGGGGCTGAGGGTGGAGGGCTTTAGGGTTTAGGGCAGAGGTCTGTGCTATCAAGATAGACACCCTGAGCGCATAATTAAACTAAAGCCCTGAAGCCTGAACGCTAAACACGTGGGAGGGAACACCCGGACAGGGCTAAATTCCAGCGCCCGATCGGCTTCAGAACGCCAGGGCCTATGACTGTCTGGTGCTTAGTAGGGAATAGGGGAATGCATCCCTATTTTAGTCCCTATGTAATCCCCAGCAATAGTCTCCTTAATCCATTTTTTCCATTCCCTACTCAGAACCAGACAGATGAAGCGATTGATTTCAAAGACCAGGAAACTTGATGCACCTATGTTTTCAAACATGAACCAGACAAGAACCAGTTGCTCTGAAATCTAAATCCTGTTAACCATCCCTACACGTAAGGCCCAGCTAAACCCCTTAGCCCCAGACTCCCCCAAACTCCAGTTTGATGTGGGATGCCAAACCTTTTGAACCCCAAACCTATCCAGCTTACAACTCTAAACTCCTGCTGCCGGAAAGCCTGTAACTTCCCTAAAACCCTCAGACGCTCCCTGTGCTGAACCCCAAACCTACAACCTTTGCAAAACCTGAACCCTAAACCTACACCCCTTCTAAACCGTGTCGAACGTACGGGGCATGGAGAGCTGAATTTCTTGGCAAAGCCGAGTCGCCGTTCAAGGCCCAGGTCTTGCACGTGGGAGCTGGGCAGGCTCCTGTAGACGATATTCGCACATATTGGCAGGTATGCATGCATGTATGTATATGTATATGTTTATGTCTAAATGCCTTGGTTGGTTTGTTCAGCCATCTAGTATATTGCTAAACTCCTGTAAAAGAAATTCTATAATGCAGAACATAGTATATTACGAAACTCCTATATAAATCCTACAACGGGATCAAACAATTTCTGTTAAGCAAAGAAATCCCTGAATCCTAAAACGGGATCCTGGCCACGATGAGGAGACCCTCGCGTCGCAGGTTGTTGCCAGCCAGGTCCAATCGCTCCACGCCTTCACTATGTTAAGGGCAACTTAGGGTTCCTTTAAGGGTACCTTAAGAGCTCTATAAGGGTTCTATGATGGTTTAAGGTAAGGGTACCGTTTTTCCTACTATTCGGCTTTTATAAGGCGACCCTGAAGTAAAACGGACAAAAGGTTACTACTCAGGAACCTAGCCTTCAACCGCGAGTTTCATGCGTGTCCTGTTTGAGGTTCAGGGTTCAGGGTTTAGGAGTTTGGGGTTCAGGGTTCATCCGGACTGGGGTTAAGGGTTGCGGGTTTAGTGTTCTCGGTTTCATGGTTTAGAGTTCAGGGTTTAGGACTTTGGGGTTTAGGGTCTGGGGTCTCAGGCAAAACCGTGAAGGTTAGAGGGTTTGTTACTCCTTGCGAGGAGTCCGGCTCTGGCGTTCAAAGATGCACAGTGCCCTGCAGAATTCTCTGAGTCTGAAGCTGCTATGGTTGACACAGTGTCGGGTAATTCGCGAAGGCGAGGTTCCCCAAGCTTCGCTTGGTTGATGCCTCTCTTACAGGGTCTAGGGTTTAGGGTCTTGTGGGTCATTGCACCGCATTCATACGCCCCACCCCTCCCCCCACCAACACCAATCGGCCTGAACTACGACGTTAAACCTTGGCTTCCGAAACACTCGGCAACACCCGGGCACGAGAGCGAGCCAACGCGCGGGAGAGCAGCGTGAGGTCTTCCAAGCTTAGTGCACCTTGAGCTTCGTTTCTGTTGGACCACTTCTGGATAGGTTTAGGGTTTACGGTATATATATATATATATATGTATACATAATATAATATAATCTATTGCTATATTATATTTAGGGCATGTTTGGGGTCTTTAGGGTTGTTGGATCTTCAGGGGTTTAGGGAGTCTTTCGGACTTAGAGAGTATCGCGACGGACCAGGCTTAAAGCTTGGAGTTTGGGGCTTATTGGGGGCCCAGGGGACTTAGTAAGTAGGTTACAAATACGGTTAAAAGTACCCTAAATGGAGTTACCCCAATTATAACCCTACTTATAACCCACTTTCTAAGTCCCCTCGGCCGGTCTTCGGCAAGCACAGCGCCGCGAGAAGGAGCTCTTGAGTCTGCATTTTATGATCTACATCGTCGTATCCCATCTGTCCACCGAAGCATTACTGCTAAATCATCTTTACCAACTCATATATGTATATGTATACATATAGAAATATATCTATATATATATATATATATGTGTATATATATATATATGTGTGTGTATGAGACACAGAAGGGCAGTGCCGAAATGCAAGTATTCACTTCGTCTCCCACGGACAAGTTCGAGCAAGTCACAGTCTTCCAGCTGGAGCAGCGCAAGTTGGTGGCAGTAGCGGAGGAGAAGCGCCATAGTGCGGCCAGCGCCTGTCATGGCAGCGAGAAATGCACTTCGCAGAACCTGTTTAGTACGGATCTTGGGCGAAAATGTGCTACCGGTACGATTTGTTCTCCTCCTAAGTTCTGTGGCTTCTAGCTCGATGACAATATCATTCACGATTCGCGTGTTCCGAGTTCGAGATATTCGCTAGGTCATTACTAACGTACATCCTGCAAAAACCGATTCAGCCTAGCAGTAACGTCACGAAAACACGGATGCTGCAAGATTGTTCAATGATGCTCTGTAATTAGGCAAACCTCCACTTAGTACACATCTCCTCAAACCCCTCTCGTTCTGCTTCCCCTCTTCCTGCCAGGTGATTTTCCGAGAGGTCCAGAGCCAGAAGGTTCAGGGCCATCTTCCGGCTGACCAGCGAAGTAGCCGGGCCTTTAGTTATCTCAGAAGAGAGAAATGGGTTTGGGGTTTAGGGGTTCCGGGGTCAGGGAACCTGCGAGGTAGTTACGCATCATGTAGTCCAGCAGAACATCCGCAGTGATACTGATGAACTTGTAAATAAGGGACAAAGTTGTTGAAGCTAAGTATTAAAGGACATATAGATGATCAATACACCCCCTGACCCCAAACCATAAACTCTCCAGACTACTAGAACCTAACCCCAAACCCTAGAACCTGGGTGGTAGAGGGGGCCCGTGTGCCCAGGACGGCCTGCAGCCAGAGCCACAGCTGGCAAATGAAAACAACACAGGTATACATGCATGTGTAAGTAGAAGCAACACAGTCACACAAATGAACCGATCTATTTATACATATAAACGTGGTATGTGTTCTTACAGTTTAAGCAAGTTCATCACAGTGGAACAGATTGTGGAACAGATTATTTCAAGCTCGCGCGCTGCTACAATGAGTTTGAATACACCCTGCATCAACCAAAAGCCCGTAAACCTTCTATACAAAACCTATACAGTAATTTATGATAATTACACTAAGGAGCCCTGAAGGAATATTATTGGTCAGTCTTTGGGCATCTGTATTAACACGTACAAAGACCCGTACAAGTGGCACTTTATTGTATCAGTTGTACTATCCCTTCTGACAAATCCTTATAGTATCCTTCTTTAATATATTTTAGTGTCCCCCAACCCCCAAACTCTAAACCTATATCCCCATGCATGTTCCCTGTGTTGCCAAGTCGCCCTCTCCTTCTGTGCCTTTGCCGGGTAACGCCGTGAGGAGCTCCACTGCCGAAAGCTCTGGCTGGGCCCTACAGGGCCGGTCTCGAGTCCCCGAGGACAGCTTTTGGTTTAGGCTTTTTTTGTTTAAGTGTAGTTTGGTTAGGCTTTAGGGTTCAGGGCTAATTTAGATTTGGGGTTTAGGGCTTTCAGGGTGTGGTTAGGCCGCCTTTTTTTAAACCCTCGTGTCTTTTGGCCGATCGCCGCAGGACTACCAATGTGGTTGAGGGGCTGGGCCACTTAGTGAGCGAGGAACAACCCAAGATGGAAACAGCTTTAGGGTTCAGGGTTGATTTAGATTTGGGGTTTAGGGCTTTCAGGGTTTGGGGTTGCGGGTTTAGGGTCTGAATCAGTTTGCGGGGGCTTGGGAAGGTATTTCTCAGGCTTTTTGTGTGGTCTTTCACAGTTGGGAGTCTCTGCTGGCATAACGGGTAAGGGTGTAGGGTTTAGGGTTTTAGGGTTTAGGGTTGTCATGTTCTATTCAGGGTCACTTCATGTTGCGACTACCTTAACCTACCAAAACCTACTTTTGTTGTAGGGCCCCTATAATTTCCATATTAGGCTTATAATAAGAACCTACAACACAGTAGGGTTTGGTAGTTTAACGTATATCAGCTACTTTATAAGCAACGAAGCTTAAAGTGTTCCAGACTTGGGAACCAGCGAACCTTGAACTCGAACCCTCAACTTGCGCAATCGGAAAGCTTTCTGTGAATCGCTTTGCACCAGAAGGTCTCACACCATAGGGTCTCAGACTGCATCCTGCACCCTCAAAAATCAAAACCTGTACCCTACATCATAAAACCTGGATCCGGTAGTGTTTGTGTCGATGACATCGGTCCCTCCTGACTGCTGTGCTCATCTCGGACAAGGCGTCTGCATCCAGTTTGCAGCTCCGGAGCCTTCAGCGGGAATGACGTCGCTTTGGTTCCGCTCTGGTTGATGATATAAACCCTGCATTACCTTAATGATCCTAGACTCTGGGAATTATGGTAAAAAATCCTGATTATGGGTAATGCAGGATTCATATCATCAACCATCCCGATTCAAGGGTATTGAAGCTGATGGCAAGCCCTTTGAGCGCGACCCGACCCCGCACGGCCCGCACGCATGACAGGCCAAACGCTGGACACACATAGCACATGTAATGAATCAGCTTTCACCTCTGTGTCGAACTCGATGATGTCTGAAGTCCGAACCGAATATAAGGGCCTCCTCAATCATTAGAAGAGGGTTTTGGGGCACAGTATACTATAATTTTAATAAGAACCCCCCTAAAAAAAATAGGTACTGATAAAGGCCCCAACCACTGTTTCTGCCAACTTGTACAGGGCAATGCTGACCTGAAACTGCCCATACCCTGACGTGCACAAATCATACAAGATTTATCTCTCTCTCACTCTCTCTCTCGCTTTCTATCTCTCTTATCTGGCCTTCTATGGCGTAATTGAAACTGATACGAACCTAAGGAAAAGTTCATGTTTGCGGGTCAGTGGCCTAGATCTCGCTTCGTAACAACCCGAGGACCGAACACCCCGCAAATCTCGCACCGCCAAACCCCAAAACATTCCAAAATCCTGTGGAACTCATAAAGCACCCAAAGAACGTACGTAGAGTCTATGGAGACCATACAGAATCCCTGCAAGCAATGCAAAATCCTGACCCCTGAACCTCTGAACCCTAAGCGACCCACAACCACGTGGCCGCAGTGCGCGTGGAGCCAGCTCGGTGAATCCTGGTGGTAGGGCACCCAAGGGGCAGCGGAGAAACGACCTGAGCATTGACAGTGATTTCTATTGGGATATTGAGTGCAGGGTTTAGAGTTTTAAGGGGTTCAGGCAAGGTTCTATGGGGCATATTCTTGGGTTCTTGTTCTAAAGTGGTGAACGGCGTTCGATGATAATAGTGTTGCCTTGACCTGGCCTTTGCACCCCGTTCCGCCCTTCCTGTAGCTGCGTGGGTGCCCTGGCTCTGGTTTGCGAGCTGCTGATTTCGTACTTTCCTTCGTATGGATTACTTCACACAACAAATACGCCACGTATCCTAGAACGCAGCCATTCCCACACACCTAGACAATTCTGCTTGCAAAAACAGAGGCCCCGCAGCATTCCTTCTCTCTCTCTCTTTTGCAAGGCTTCGTAACAGCTTTTTGCAGGGTTTGGAAGAGGTGTTTATGGGATTCAAGAAGGAGTTATTGGTTCTGTTTGTTTTGGCTTGACTGGTATAGGGGCCTTCATAATTAGAATAGGCTTTGCCAGGGAGTGGGGGTATATTATACTATACTTGTAATAAGGAACCTCCAAAATAGTATTGGTAATTATTTAGGCCCCTATATTAGCTAAAAGGCGTGTAAATTTAGCACCTGCAGGGACAGTCGTTCGGGTGTCCATGGCCTCAGGGTGATGGTCTTGCATTAGGAATCTCCAGCGCCGGCTTCGGGGTGTTTCAGAGTCCAGAATTCATGCTGTGGAGCTTGGGAATGCGGAGATGACTCATCTGGCAGCTCATCGTGCACACGGCCGCTTCCATGATATTGGTGAGTTGCATGTGTACTCGGAATGCTTGGCTTATCACGTGGCAGCCCTCCAGCAGCAACCGGAGCTGAAAGACACCACAACCAATATCTCCAAGCTCCAACCCCCCTGAACCCTGCGGCTTCAAACCGATAGTCCTGCAGCTCAACCCGAGGGCTCCAGATGCCGGTAATATGTATATATAATACCATAATACAATATAATATAATCGAATAGATATATATATATATATATATATATACATATATATATATAACTATATATATATATACTTATGGTGAGTAACCTACTATTTAAGTTACTGGAGCCCTGCAGCTCAAGACAAGGCGCAGCTCAACACAGCTCCGAAGGACCTGAGGAACCGTGCAACCAAGAACGGCCGAAGCGTTGGGCGTGGAGTTTGAGGCTTACTTGGAGGCCAGGGGCCTTAGTAAGTAGGACAATTATAGGGTTCCTTAAAGGGGTCTTTGAAAGGGATCTATAAGGGTTCTAAAAGGGGGGTTTAGGGTCCAGGGGACTTAGTAAGTAGGTTATAAGTAGGGTTATAAGTACCCTAAATAGAGTTACCCCCAAATACAACCCTACTTATAACCTACTTACTAAGTCCCCTGGGCCGCCAAGTAGTGCAGCAGTGCCCGATGCTCATGGTTCCCTTGCTTAGGGTCTCAAGTTTGAGGACTCAGGTGTATGGCGCGGCTGATTCTCGGCTTGAACAAATGAAGCCACGTAAGGTAGGGGCCTTAATAATTAGAATGGGGTTATTTGGTATGCTATACCATAATTTGAAAAAGGAGCCCCCAAAACCCTATACTGTATTCTAATTTTCCCTACGTTACAGAAGAGCAAAGGTCCCAGGCAATGCTGTTCAAGCGCTGCATCTACATCCTGACCTGATGTAGGGCCTCGATTTCAAGGTATCTTATACTAAGACAATGACGAGGAGCCCCAGGGAATGCTATGGGTAATTATGCAGGCCTCTGTTTTGCGCGCAAACCCTGCGTAAACTAGGTGTACAAACCCGCCGGAAGCACCACAGCACACAACAATTTCATTGCCCTCACCCCTGTGCGGCGAGATCAATCTGGCACAACAAATGCACCGCTGACATCGTGGCGACTCAAACTTGAGGCTTTCGTTTAGTGAGCCCTATGCCCCTATCCCTAAACATGCAAGTCGCGCCGCAAGGGGGTCACTCACCCGTAGCCTCGGGTTCCCTGATTTCAAGAAATATGCTTTGCAAACATGTGTTTACAGATCTACTTTTCTATCTATCTATCTATCTTTTTTTGAAGAGGCAGCTGATTAATTATACAATTAACAACACGGCATCGCGGTAATCGTCACAATCATAATTTCCACTAGCATGTAGCAATATCACTAATAGCGAGCATAATCAACACATTGATTGCCAGACTGATGGAATGATGCATGGTAGTATAGGGGACTATTTCGGGGGTCCTTATATTGCAATTGTAGTAGAATGGGCCCCAAAACCCCATTTGAATTACTAAGGCCCCATATTTTGCATGCCTCCTCGAGCTGCTTGAAGCCCTCTGCCCCCAAAGTGCAGTCCTCCAAGAGGCAGGAGCAGCACGGAACGTGCCATGTGGGGGCCCAAAGGCTTGAAAGCATTCTTATCAAGGTCTATATACATGAACGTTTACGAAACAGGCATTGCAACCAGTAGTGGCAACGAACTACTCAAGTCTGCCCCGCACGAAACTCCTTTGTTCGCTCTCTCTCTCTCTCTCTCTATCTCTCTGTCTCTGTCTCTCTCTCTCTCTCTCTCTCTCTCTCTCTCTCTCTCTCTCTCTCTCTCTCTCTCTCTCTCTCTCTCTCTCTCTCGCTCTCAATCAGTATGTATATACATATAAACATATATACATGTATACATACGTCTGCATGTATGTCTGTATGTACGGATACATGTATATATGTACACATGCATTATCACGAGCGATATTGCAATATGTACATACAAATATGTACATATTGTTGTTGCTTGCATATATGGACTACATGGATGGTAGATGCAGATGGTGACAAGAAACCACCAATGCCAATGACAGCACTGACACATGTAACCAATCGAGCGTTGATGGCAGCAGTGGTTCGGCACTCTCCAACCCAAGCCCCTCCTCGACCAGAAAGGCGTCTAGTTTGCCAAGCTGCCGCAGCGCGGTTTGCACCTTGGGATAAGAAGCTCGCTCTGGCATATAGGATGGGAGCCGGCCGGAGCCAAAACCCGGTGAAGTCCAGCTAGCGGACGATTTTGTCTAAAAGTGCAAACGACAACTGGTCGATATCTGTTTCAAACGCTTCGTTCAAAATGTCCCAGAAACAGTGCAGATGCAACACTACCTTATTGGACCCTCCTACCACAACCACTCCACACGCAGCCTCGGCCGATGCAAGGTTCATCTTGCGCAGATGGAATCGCCTCCGCAATTTAGTAGGAACTACAGAGGATTGAACGGTTCATCTGCAATTTCTGAGAAGGGCAATGAAAGCTCGGCGGGGAGGTGAAGGAGGCCATGCCCCATTGTTGCACCCCCATGATTGGTTGAATGTTTCGTGGTGGCCTGACATGATGAAAGTACTGCAGCGACGTGACCTCCCCGCGGTATCAAGAGCATGCACGAAAAATCAATTCTCTTGATACAAGCACAGGGTCCTCAGCAGCACTCCAATGTGGAACACTGACATGCTACATGCAATGAGAGCAAGGTCGCGCCAATGATACTGACAGCAACGATGTTGACGAGTGTGTTAGAAAGAATTTCAATGTGTTGCTACGCTCGCAGGAACAGGCGTACGGCTGCATTGATCGTGCTGGAGGACTTGCGAAGCCAACGCTGACAACGTACGACCAACGGTCATGAACACCAAGGGGTCGGAGTTTGAACTTTGATAAGCTATCGACGGCGATTGTCGGCAAGAGCGGCTTTTCAAGCTTCTTGCCTACACAACAATGAAACAGGGCATCAACGGATGCCTGTCAAACTCTGTTAATTTGGAGAGGCTGTCAGCTCGCATGTGCATCTCCACATATTGATGCGAAAGCATAAGCAAGGTCAGGATGCCTCTATCTTAGCTTTTGCAATCAGTCTTTTACCTCAGCCTGAAAGGCTGTATGGCGATTGTGCAAACTGATGAAAGATGAATTTTGCAGCTTATTCAGTGCAGCAGGATTTCTCCACAGCCTCGTCTGCCGTGCCAGGGCAGCTGCAAATCGCAAGGACGACGAGCACAAACTCCCAGGAAACAAGCCTGGGAATAGGGTTTTGGAGTATATTATACTATAATTACAATAAGGAACCCACAGAACAGTATTGTAATTATTTCGGCCCCTATAATAGTCTCCACTGTAGTTCCTTTTTTGGGGTGAGTTAACGGGCCCTACATCTAAAAGTGGTTAGACCAAACAAGGAACCACAATAGGGACTGTGGGTACTTGGAGGCCAGGGAACTTGGTAAGTCGGTTATAAGTAGGGTTACAACGAGGGTAGCTCCATTTCGGGTGCTTATAAGTCTGCTTAGAAACCTGCTTACTAAGTCCCCTGGGCCTCTAAGTAGGGCTTAGGGCGCAGGGCCGGAGTCTGGAACCTGTCATCGGAGGTGTTCGCGCCCTATGGGAGGAGAATGGAGCACAGAAGTACCTGGGTTTAGGGTTTTGGGTAGCAGACCTAGTAGCTGTAGGCTTTCGCATCGTCGGCAGAATAATTAAGGGGCTTGAGAGGCCATTTCTGAATAGAGAAATGAAGCTCCACGCTGCAGGAATCCTGCACGCCCAGTGTGACTGCAATCAACAAACACCAAACCAAACCTGTACGCATCTGAAGACATGACCAAAAGAAAAAAAAATCAACGAGCACCAGGCCCAGCTGAACGAGCTCGTTGATGAGGAGAACCACCACATCGGGCTCGAGCCTCAGGATGCGGAGAAGGAGGGATTGCGCTCGAGTGTGTCTGCGTGGGAACCGCTGAGCTGCACAAAAGGGGACCTTGGCCACTGAGCAGGTGCATGTCTTATCTATACCCCCCTTAGAACGATAATAATATAATTGCTATTGTTTCTATCCCCTTGTGTTTTATACGAACAAAAATACTAAAATAATTCCTAAGGAGACTATAGTGATGCTTGCCGAGGCACCATGCCAAAGCGACTGCTGCAAGCGCCGTTGCGGCAACGGCGAGAAGCAGCATTGGCTCTTGGCTCAGGGTCTGGGTAGGAGTCCCGGGGCTACGAGAACTCAGGGGATCGCAGAATGCCCCAAGCTAGCCCCGGACATCGGGTCTTCGTCAGTCCAAGTTTCGTGGGTTCTTGCTCACATCTAGCTTGAAACCATGGCCTACTCAGTCGAAATTGTGGGTGAATTCGGATCTGCAGATTCCTTGCCTATGCGTTCTTTACAAGGCAGACTCAGAGGTGAGTGGATCGACATGCTCAGGAAAAGATGTGCGAAGAGCAACACAAGAGCCATAGGAGTTCAACGTGCATTGCACCGCATCAGGATATCCACTCATACAACGCATCCCGAGCAAAAGACGTACTTCCGTACTCTGACCTAAGGCGCCGTAGTAATTGGAATAGATATATTTTGGGGTATTTTGTACTAATCTGGTTGGTGGTAATAAGCTCCCCAAATCATATATAGGTAATAATTCAGGCCCCTATATAGTAACTGCGAACCCTTCTTGTGCATTCATGCAGCTGAGCTGGGTTTTGATTTCTCGCAGCGCCGCCGACAAAGGTCGAAACGACCATGCTGCTCGGGGTAGGTCCGAACATGATGTGGCGGGTGGCGCAGCATCAGCGATGCCGGTTTAGGGTTTAGGGTTTAGGGGTTTAGGGTTTAGGGCCACATGACTTGCAACGGTGTTCGGGGAAGTTACAATTCCGGGCTTCGTCCCTTCGGGCTACGGTTCTGGATCGTTCTCACGGTCGGTCATGGTCGGCGGGAAGCATCTGGCCGGATCTCCCGCAGGAGCACGCGCTGATCTGTGTACCTGCAGCGCACTTCAGATCAGCGTTTCCGGAGCATCCTGTGAAGGAGTTCTATACAATGTAGTGGGGTCATGTTAGAACTCGTCAGGGTACCAGCAGCAGCCTGACGAGTGAAACGGTCAGCTTGCTATATCTAACTTGGCCCAAGGGACGCTATCAATAGTTGTGTGCAACGGTAAATTACTGACAGCTGACATGCAGAATTCTAAACTATAATCTGGTCACGCTTGCAACAACCGTGTGTAAACATCTGAACCGGCTCCTGCAGTGGGCGCCACGTTCTGCGCTTCGAGTTTTAGTTACCCGCAGGCCTTCCATCGTAGACACTCGGATGCCCGAGATGCTGGAGATGCACCCGGATCCTTGTGCAGAGGCTCGTCAGCGGCAAAGGTGGAGGATGCAGAGGCTTGTGGGTAGTAATAGACTTAAAAACATGTTTTTGAAAATGCTGGAAAATCATGCTCCCGGGCGGAGGAATTGACACAGAGCTGTGGACGCACTTCCTACAGCTGAGTGCTGACAGGGCAGGCGAATCAGTTCATGCGGCATTCATTGTCAGAGCATGATTGTAAGACACAGTAACTAGCATCAGCCCTAAACCCTAAACCCTAGGTCAAATGACCTACCGTCAATACTGCAGACCAGCCCAAGAAATCATGGTTACTTGCTCCCTGATGGGGATCCTAATTGAGACATAATTAAACTCAAGCACAGGACCCTATGTCCCATCTGAATGAGATCCTTGTCTTGAATGCAGCTTGTAGCTCATTTGCAGCTTGATAGTGACTGCGAACTCCACAAGTTTTTTCCCTTGCGCGATGCACCTGAAACCCCATTGAAACCCAGGGCCCTTAACCTATAAACCCCTAAAGCCCTAAACCCTCAAACTCTAACCCCTAAATCCTAAACCGTAAATCCTAAACCGTAAATCCTAAACCCCCAAAACCCTAAACCGCCTTAAGCCCCAAACCCGAAAGCCGTTACCCTCTGAGGGCGCCACTGATGCTGCCGCCCCGTCCAGATTGAGATGGCTACCGATGTGTAACGGTCCTGCAGGAGACCCCAAGAGCCCTTTAATAGAGCCCTTATGGCCCTTGATAGTGGGTATTTGGGGTATAGTAGAGGGTAGTTGGGGGTGCTGGCTGTCTTATTTGCTTGTTGGGTTTATGCTTTAGAGTTGAGGTTTACCGATACATATAGAGCCGCACAAGGTGTGGGGTTTAAATTTTAGGGGGTCTACTAGGACTAGGATGTTTCGAGTTTACCGTGAGGGATTCGAACGCTATCGTCTGTTGCAAGCGATTGGAACTAGCCAGTGGTCCGGTCCCCCGCTCCCACGCCCCAGCAAAAGCCCCTTGGACACTTGCAAGGATCATTAACATGGCGTAGGAATCGGCGAACTCCTGCAAGCTCCGTGAGGCAAAGGACAATGGTGTGATGTAGGTCAGGGCAGGCTTCCCACCTGGGTCACGGGTTTAGGGTTTAGGGTTTATTAGGGTTTAGGATTTAGGGGTTGGGCTAAGGGTCTAGGGTTTAGGGTTTATTAGGGTTTAGGGTTTAGGGGTTGGGCTAAGGGTTTAGGGTTTATTAGGGTTTGGGCTTTCGGGGGCATTGGGCAGCCGGTAAGAACCGCATGGATCTGAGTGTGAGAATAGTTGAATGAAGTGTTCAGAACAAGAAGCTTTAAGTGTCCTGTCGGTTGGTAAACAGAAATAGCCTTCAAGGGGTTTGCAATCGATTTCCTCTCCTGGATGGTCGAGCTTTTCTATACAACGGAACAACGCCATAGAAATAATAGTCCTGCACAACAGGTCATATTGCAATATTCAGACATTAGCCTCGTTCTATCATTCAAACACACAGTTGATGGTCGTAGGTCGTGTCAGGATGAAAGATTCGACATGCCAGCGGGTACCTATGAGGATCACATCTCGGCCAACAGACACAGCTGCCCTGATATCTTCAACTCTTACTTGTGGTTAGTAGGGAATGGAGGAATGGGGCATAATTATAACTACTATTACTACCATTCTTCCATTCCCAACTAACCAAAGGTAAATACTGAACCCAGGTGCGGGGTCAAGCAAACACATGATGTCTTAGTCCAGCAATGAAGGCATGATTCGCAAGTACTCGTGACGAACCTCTCTAAACTGGGCACCCCCAAACCCCAACCGCCTGTGGGTACTGGAATTCCCCTGGCCCCTGAGAGCTTGCACCCTTTTGTATAGAGCCCGTGTAGAACCCTCAAGACTCAAGTCTGGTGTGCTTACGGTCCAAACCCCACGCCCAAGCCCCCACCTACCGCCCTAACAGCACAAATCTACAATGTTAACATAATACATAATGTTATGTATATGTGCACATATACATATGATATATATATATATATATATATATATACGTATATATATATATATATATTTCTAGAGAGTGCGTCGGAATGCAGGCCCGTGTTTTTCGGTCGAAGTAAGCGAGTTTCAGTACATTCTTCATGCTTCTCAAGACTTTTGGTTCATCTGTAGCAAAATCGAACACAATGGCAAAATCTCCTGCAAGTTTACAAATATGCTGAATGGTAACTGATCAACACAGTTATGCAATAGACAGTCGAATTTGTGCTGTTAAGTCACCTGTTCGAAATATTCGGGTTTGCCACCCCTTCCATTCCATTTTTCTTTAGACCCAGTAGGTATGCTTGAGGAACATGTCAGATGTTATAACCTCTTTCTGGATCTTGGCATTCACTGTATCTTTCAGAGTTTTAGTGTAACGTCTGTTATGCCTTGTTAGTTGGGACAGAAATGCCACAATTAGATGTTAGTCTTGGCTCTCCACCATGTTTGTGTTAAGTTGCTGAATTTCCACATATCATTTTTTGTTGGAGTTTAAAGTGTTTCTGACCTAGTGGGATTGATTATGGATTTTTATCCGCAGTCTGCCGCCAAGGATGAACATATTGGACATGCCACCCATGTATCCTGATCAGAATATATCATGCATTCAAACTTGCTACCCTTCTTCGGGATAATGAACTGAATTCCATCACCTCCTTGAATTTTTTTGGGCTTGCCACCCAACTTGTCCAATATGGTGGATTGTTGGAACCCAATCGTGATGTTAGTGTTTGAGACGCATCATCTCTTCCCCATATCTGAGTTTAAGAGTTATATGTATTTATACATATCTGTTAAGCAATTTTACATAAACTGCATCATATCTAACCATTATTAGCCGTTTGGACAGCCTTCCACTATGTCCACTTGTATTTGGAAAGTTTCGTTTCTCGAACCATTGCGAACCACTCCTCCATTCTAGCCCTTTATGAACTTTTACCAGTCTTCCGAGTCATTTGTTTCATTGATTGCTGTCATCTTGTCTGTGTCTGCGCAATTTGGGTCCATCATTTTTAGTCATAACGATGAAGATTTGGCCACCTGTCCGTTGCTCTTATTCATATCCTGCTAACGCTGTGGTTTCGAAAGCATAAGGTAATCCCTGATAGGATTGGGGGGGGTCCCGCCTATCCGCTCCGCAGTTTCAACCGTGGTTATCTGAACGAACGATTGGGATTGCCATCTATCATCTCGTATCAGGGCTTATGCATCTTTTGGGGAATGCATGCATCATGTCTGACAATGTAATTTTCAATCACCCAGTAAAAAACATGATAAAACCGAGTGTTTCACCCAAAAGCACAACATTGTGATGGGGTTGCAGAAGCCTTCAACTTTCTAAACCCTAAGGCCGCAACAAATTCGCGCGTGTGTGTATATATATATATATAAACCAAATCGATGGTTGAGATATCCCTATCAACTTGCACATCTGTCACTCTCGTACATGTTTTTCGATATATATATATATACTGTAGAACTGACATGATAACACATATGTATTTAGACATGAACCGACAATGGCATCAACAATGTAGCTGTCAATGATCTGGTTCTAATCATTGTTGTATGATATTCATAGGAAAACATACTTAGACTAGACATACATGCTAAGTGTAACTATACATATATATATATATATATATATACGCACACATTCACGACAGTTAGATGCATGGTTCCTCTGTTTATATATATATATATATGTATACAAACACATATGCGATGTCATGCGACTTGTCAAGTTGAATGCTCACATAGACACACGTATCTACAAACATGCCCACGAATGCATGGGCAAGGTCTACATATGGATCATGCAAGAGGTGATATCTATTATAATACCTATAACCTTATGTTGCAATCTTGATATGTCTCATAGGGCCATAGGGGTGGATGACAGAGATGAAGATCTCTATGAGGTTTCTCCTTGGTCCTTAGTCTAGGTGGATTTGTGACCTTGTTTCTTGGCCTAAAGCCTGAAGACTTTACAGATTTGTATAATTACTGAAACTCGCTGGCTTGGTTCGTAGGCCTGGCTCTAGCCTCAGAAGGGCTGCACTTTGAGGTCCCTGTACTGGACTGGGGGGGGGAGGGGGGGGGGCAAAAAAAAAAACAAAAAAACAAAAAAAAATATTTTTTTTTATAACTTTTTTTTTTTCCCCCCCCCCCCCCCCAGCTGCAGGGCCAGGGCCACGGACTCCAGGCCTTTTGGCTCTTTGGTTTAGGCTATCTAATGTTGCAGACACTATCCAGGCCCGTTATTCCCACAGGAGCTTTCAATCGTTCAGTAATTGTTCCTGTAAACAAATAAATGCAACACTCTTGCACAATCCTAGCTTACAAAAAGGAGAAAGGGAAAGCTCCAAAACTCGGGCCTGCAGTGCGACGCTTTCTGTATATATATATATATATATATATATATATATATATATAGGTATATAGGTATATATGTAAAACGTTGTGCTACAATGCTATATATATATATATATATATATATATATATATATATATGTTTGTGTGTGTGTGTGTGTAGATATATATGTGGGTATGTAAACATGCTTATATGGCTTCTTGCGGGCCCAAGCTGCGCTCATCCACGAGGCAGCGCTCGCCGAAGCGCTCCCGTCCTCGAGCCTCGGAGAACAAGTCCCATTAAAGTAAGGCTTAGGCGGTTTAGGGTTTAGGGTTTAGGGTTTCTACAAGGGTTCTCAAGGATTCTAATTACAAAGGTTCAGTAAAGTCGTAGGAAGCTTCTACAAAGGTTCTATGAGGCTTCGAGGTTGTACTGGGGTGGAAAGGCTTCAGCTTGGCTTTCCTTCGGGTTTTGGGGTTGTAAGGTTTCGCACCTGTTCGCGGGTCAGGGCTGCGGCTTTTATAGTTCACGGTTTAGGGCAGTCGGTCTTGAAGGATCCCTAAACCCTAAACCCTAAACCGTGGTCTGGAACTGGGGTTGTGTACGTAGTTGCCCTCAATGGGCTTCTCGAAATTGTAAGTCCCACTGCTGAATCAGGTCGAAGAGAAGATTAAGATGTAGGGCTGAGAGGATCTATGGCTGGGATTCGAATCCAGCAGGGGTTCAAGCGCCTCCAATAGTCCCATTTAACAAAAAGCCCTCACAGTATGTCCAGCATGTAGCATTTGGGATCCTATCCAGTCAAGGTGAGTAAAGCTTCGGGTCTTGTATAGCTCCGGACCCGGAGCCGTAAAAACAAACCTACAAGTTCCAGCCACGCCAAGATCTCACATGAACCTTGAATCATAAAAGCGTAGACGCTGAACCTAAGCCCTAACATCCCAACCCCTAAAATGCTAAACCCGCAACCCTGTTTTTAAGTTCCAAAAAACTAAACTTCAAACCCTAAACCCTAAACCCTCATGACCCCAAGGCCCTAAAGAATAATTTGACACCGCTGAGCCGGGCTTCAGGCAGCTCCTTCACGCAATCGTGCCGAAATCCTCCGGGGGTCCCATTGCTTGAAACTTCGGAAGTTTTGGGGCTCGGGGCTTGGGTTCAGGGATTTTGGAATTTTGGGGCTTTTTAGGGTTTTAAGGAATTTTAAGGCATTTGGTCAGGTCTATTGGCTGTCAGCAGCGCATGATCTGCAAAAACCACACTGTTCCTAATTGCATGTTTGGCGACAGCAGATGTTTTCCGGTTCCAACTCGGCTCACCCAGAACGGAACGTCTGTCAGGGCAGTGCAAGTGCAAACTTAGGTTAACTTCGGAAGCTCATTTGGCAAAGAAGTTTCTAGGGTACCAGCCAAGCTACATCCAGGACCTGAATGCGGTGAGTCGTCCGAATACGAAAGCCTAAACCCTAAATCCTAAATGGCCCTGAACGGACGCGGGAGCGATGGCAGGGTTTCTAATACAGGGGCCTTATTAATAGTTAGAATAGGGCTACGTAGGGTTTTGGGGGCATTATACTATAACTATAACAAGGAACCCCCAAAATAGTAATGATAGGTAATTACTCAGGCCAATATATTATCCCCTGCAACAGGGAGTGTGTTCGTGTGTGGCATCGACAGTGTACCGGGCTGAATATCATCAGGACTGGAACCTCAGCAGAAAGCCTGAACCCTAAACCCTAAAAAACCCATTTAGCTTCCTGGCTCTTCTCGAAAGCTCCTATCTTGCGGCCAGCCGCTCCTCAGTGTGCCAGATTCGGGTGGAAGCAGGCCGTGACAGAGCACAAAGTACCTTTCGAAGAAAGGTCTGGACGTCTTCTAGCTTCCATGATGGTACATTGACATAGGGACCATACGGGGATGTCATTACTAATTCGTCCGACCCCCATAGTACGACTGAAGGGGTCAACCTTGCATTGACTTGTTGAAGGCTCGGTCTACAGCACGGCATCTCTCCGGTGGATCTCTCACCTAAAAGACTTCTTGAACAACAAAGCCTGCGTGTCCGTCTCCCAGGTTGTCCGGCCGCAGCTTGAAAACATCGCTGAGTTTCAACTCATTTATGATGCAATGATGGTCTTCTAGGGACCACTGTCAGTTTTGGCGCGGCTCCCGTGCCACCTCTGACCGGTTTCAAAAGCTGGCGGATGTGGGTGCGATTCTGCGCATGGCGCCTGACCATGCTTCCCAGGTATGTGGCAGCGCCTTTGTGTTTAGCTTACCAGTGGTAGGGTTTAGGGTTTCGGGGTCCATGGCAAGGCATCAGAGGCCCGAATCTTGCTCAACAGATGGCCTGAGACTTCCTGCCTTTTGGTTATTAGGGAATGGAAGAAGGGTAGTAATAGTAGTTATAATTGTACCCCATTCCTCCATTCGCTGCTAACCAAAAGTAAACCTTTTTGGGATTACCTTATAGGATTCTAAATATGAACCCCAAAAAGGAACTACTTTGGGGCCTGATGGCCTGAGACTTTTTGGATTCCCATGCACGCAGCGTGTACGCGCCCGAAGCTCATCTGGTTGATGCGCTCAGAGCCAGCAGAACCAGGAGGGAGGCGACCTGCAATCTCACGAGTTTCTGTTTTCGGGGCTTTAGGGTTGAGGGTTTAGGGTTGAGGGCACGGACATGATGAACCCTCGATCTCCACATCTTCAGTTTTAAAGGATAGAGACGGTCGTTGGCATCGCAGGCCTACGGGCACCCACAGCGCCTGTACCTTAAACTGAGGGAGTCGCATACATGCAGCTCGGGAAGCTGAGAGACCACTTTGCCCCCGAAGCCCAATACTGGAGGTGCCTTGAAAGCCTTTGACAAATGTTAGTAGGTAAGATCCTCTTAAGCCCAATACTAGGAGGTGCTGTTAAAGCCTTTGAAATAATATGAGTAGGTAAGATCCTCTTAAGCCCAATAATACGGGCAAAAATAAAATGCCTAGAAAAAATGAGGCACAAAGCCGGTCACAAGTCAACCCTTTCAATTAAGCCGAAGCCCTACCCATAGGCCCCATAGTAGTTCCAAATACAACGCCAAGATCCGATTCACATGAAAATTACTGTATTCACCAAGGTGACGCCCCTGCACGACGCCTTTCGGATACCTGGGACGACTTAGAGCCTGGACCCTGTACTAAAGTTGCACTACAACCCGGCACAATCCAGCCAAGACCCCAAATAAGACATTTACCGTACTACAGTCGTACTACAACCAAGCACAATCTGAACGAGACATCTCCAGTACCACCAAGCACAATCCAGCCAGGAGGCATTTCCGATACTTAAGCACTACAACCAGGCACAATCCAGCCAGGACCCCAAACCCTCTCCACTCTCGAAAGCCTAAACCCCTGAAGCCCCTAAACTCTCTAAACCCTAAACCCGAAACTCTCTAAAAACTAACCCGAAACTCTCTAAAACCCCCTAAACCCTCTAAAACCCTAAACTCGAAAAACCCTACTTAAACCGACGACTGACGACTCGGGACCCCGACGCCGAGACTCTTTGCTCGAGGGGCACCCGCAGTCAGTGCTGAGTGTGCGCGAGTTTTGGCTTCGGTATGAATTTGGGTTTTGGGATTCTTAGGGCGTTGGCGTCGAATTTCAGAGCTTTGGGATTTTTTTGGGTATTGGGGTCTTGGTTTAGCGCTTTGTGGGTTTGAGGGGTTTGGGGATATTTAGGGCTTCTTGGGTTTAAGGCTTTGGGGGTTTATGGGGTTTTGGGTTTGGAGATTGTTGGGTTTTCTGGCTTTTTGGGTTTAGGGTTCGAGGTTCGATTACGGCTTGGAGCTTAGGGTTTATAGGGATTAGGGTTTTCGAGTTGAGCCGGTTTCCGGCTTTGGTTTAGGCTGTCTGAATCGCATGGACGCTTCTTCACAGGTCCAGTCGTTTTTGAAGTGGAATGTTTAAGTATCGATGTGTGTAGGCGATGTAGGCCTTCCGGGTGGCAAGGTCATAGGGCTTCAGACTTTGTGCGTCGGGAGTCCAGGGCCCTAGGGCTTGTCGGGTTGATGGTGTTGGGTTGAGGGCTTTAAGTTGCGAGGACTTCTGTTGGGCGATTCTTCATAGTCTTTCATATATCATTGTATCGTACCCGCAGCTGCCAAGCAGTGAACAGTATCGTGGACATGAAGACGAAGTTCCGAAGGCTCCGCACACTAAATCGGTAGTCGCTGAAGTTGCTTGTGCTGAGGCTTTGGGGTATGATCGTGGCCAATTTGCGGGAATGGTTGGGGGCCTGTGGGGAACCCTGTTTCATATGGATGCTTACACGAACGCCACCCCCCTCCTCACCAAAAAATGTCCCAACGCGAAAACCCTGTGAGAGCTGTTTCAAGATGAAGTGCAAACAGACGCAAGCACGCAGTTCAAGCGATCCGGTGACTTTGGGCAACTACTCCGCAGTGTACGCAAGTATACGAACTATGCTATGACATGACACTCTGGTAGTGGGCACAACATGTGCTGTAGAAGGTGTATGTGAGGATTGTATCTCCCTAAACCCTACAATCCTAAACCCCTCTAAGCCTTCAAGCCTTGAAGCCTAAACCCCCTAAGCCTAAACCACCCCCCCCAAAACCCTAAAACCGTCAACGCCCTAAAGCCTAAACCCTCTAAAACCCTCTAAAACCCTAAACCTACATTCTAAAACCCTCTAAACCCTAAAACCGTCCAAGCCCTAAAGCCCGGAACTGAGATGGGCGGCTCAGCCCATTCGCCGGGTCGTTCAGGTTGAAGCCTGGCCTGGCTTCCACAGGGTTTAGAGTTGAGGGAGTTTAGGGTTTAGGGAGTTTATGGAGTTTAGGGTTTAGGGTTTAGGGACTTTAAGGGTTTAGGGAGTTATTTAAGAGTTTAGGGTTTAGGGAGTTTATGGAGTTTAGGGTTTAGGGTTTAGGGACTTTAAGGGTTTAGGGAGTTATTTAAGGGTTTAGGGAGTTTAGGGTTGAGGGAGTTTAGGGTTTAGGGAGTTTAGGGTTTAGGGAGTTTAGGGTTTAGGGAGTTTAGGGTTCAGGGAGCTTACGACCACTAGTGGAATACAACAACATCGTGTGCAGTACCACGCCATGTAACACAGTGAAACTGCCAAGGGCAGTGGGCTAACTTCAGAAACAAGGGTCTTCATGCCGGAGAAAAGGGGATACTGCGGGGTGTATGCGATTACTCGGCGGATGATCCAAACGCACACGCAACACACACACACACACACACACACACACACACCAGCACACACGTACAGATATATGCATATGTGCAGGTATTTGTCAGTGCATATGTATCATTATGTATAAAAAGACTGTGAATATGCACACACGATCGTTCTGTCGTTTGTGCTTTCTGTCTTCATACATCTATGCACGGCATGCATACGTGCACATATGCACACATGCCCATAAAACCTTTAGTTGCTTACTAAGACATGTAGGGCTGAGTAGGAGGAGCCCCAGGCTGGCACGCTACAGGTCTAGTTGTGCCGTCTTTTGGGAAATTAGGGGTACTCGTACCTTATTTTGGGGTCCTTTTTAATATAAGGATCCTACTATTTGGGGCACTGTATTTGGGTTCTCTATGTTCGAAACCACCTGCCCGCTGCTGAGAACATGCGGAGCTTAGGGCCGGTCATTGCGAACGTGGCCATCACTGCCGGATCTGTGATTTGCGAGCAGCCCTCCGGGTAGCTCGGACCTCAGAGGACGCTGCAGAGGCCCAGGCTTTCCGGTCAAAGCACTGCAGATCTTGTGTGTATACATATATACATATTTATCTATTTACTTATTTTTTTCTCTGCCTATATATGCACACATATATATATATATATATATGTGCATACTACATTGCTACATATGTCCATTTGTTTGCGTATTTGTTTATGTGATTAATGTAGTTTCTTTGTTTATACGTCGTCGGCGGATCCGCAGCCCCTGGGTCCCGGCTGCAGAGGCTCACAAACCAGACGTTAAACGTCGGAAGTGGCGAAGGGACCATCCTTGGAGGGCTTTGGGACTTGGGATAGAGTTCTAGTTGTCTTTGAGGGTATGGGCCCTCATTGTCGCTACTGCTGCTGCTCTTCTTAATTGCTCCTACTACGACTACAATTTTCAGGGTTTTAGGATCAGAGCACTCTCGGTCACGGCTCATGGTCGCCACCGTCGTGCGTGGCAGCATCAGAGCATCACCGTCACGACCGTCGACCCGCAGACCAGTCTTCCTGATCATCGGTACCATTTACCATCAACAACTTCGTCACCAGGCGATCGCAGGCATCACAATCATCACCATAATCATCGTACAACCATCACCCCGACCGCACCATCAACGTCAATAGCACCAGTACAATGATGAAGAAGCAGAGGGCGAATATGATGAAGACGGTAATGATGATGATGGCCGTGATGATGTTGATGAGTTAGCTTGGGCTGGTGCAGCTGGCGGTGAAGATAATCTTGGCCGACCGACTGGATCATCACCATCATCACCACCATCATCATCACAGCCATCGCCATCGGCATCGCGACTGTCATCGTCAGCCGGCATAGGATTCTTGAATCGTAGATGGGGAAGCTGAAGTTGCAGAAAATGAGCAAAACTTGAGGTGACGGCCGGTATGCTCCTTTGGTCATGTGTACACCGCAGCTGACACCGCCTCCCCCCTAAAGCTCGGATGCCGGCACATTGAAACGGAAGCCGTAGCTGCCGGACGAAAGCGTGACCCTGCAGATGAGCCAGGGTTTGTCTTGCACAGTCCTAGCTTTGGTGGAGCTTCTGCTGGTGGATGATCAAAGGCCGGGCTCACCCATTATACCATATCTATAATCAGGAACCCCCCCCAAAAAAAAGGCATAGGTAAATATCAAGGCCCCTATAGTACCTGGCTCAGGCTGGCAGGTTTTGGGGCTTTCGAGATTAGGCTTAAGTGGTCACATCTTCTGAAACTCGCAGGTGCAATGGACTAGGGACATTCTCTGGCGGCGAGAGGGGACAAGCTAAACCCTACACCCGCCCTAAGACGATAAAATCCGTAAGTAAGGGTATCGGTTTAGGGTTCAGGGCTTAGGCCCTAAACCCTAAACCCTAAACACCGAAGAGCTCTCCGATCGCTGAGTGTCCCGCCACGAGGACTGGTTCAGTTCCAAGGATATCCGGATTCGATCCTTCCGGACCAGAAAAAGGGTTCCTTTAAAGGGTTACTATAAGGGTACTATAAGGGTACTATAAGGGTTCCTTTGAAGGGCTCTGTACGTGGCTTAGAGTTTCCGAAAATTCTGGGTACCTTATTTTGCGGTCCTTATAATAAGGATCCTGCTGTCTAAGGTACTATATTAGGGTCCCCCCATTTTCGGAAACTCCCAGATGAGGAAGAGCAAAGGCAAAGGCACACACATGATGCCACATGAAGGAAAACATGTCTCCTGCCGAAGGAACGACAGTAGACACACAAGGTGCTCTCACTTCACGCTGCCATAGCGACTGAGAGTAATCGCAGTAGCTGTATGCTAAGTGTAACGAAACTGTCGCAGGCCGGTATTTATAGGATCCTTATAGGGATCACTAGGCTATATACCCCCCTTGGACCCCCCTCCCTTAAGGATACTACTAGGTTTCGACTGCCGGCATGGCTCTCGCGCACTCGTGTGTACATGGCTGATTGTTGCATCACAAGAGCTCCTCGGTATATACTTAGACCCCCAAAATACCCTATAAGTATATACCATAATCTATACTGAGATTAGAACCCTAGCAAAAAATTGCAATTCAAGCTGTTTCTTAGGGATTATAGTGTAACCAAAATTTAAAAACTATTTCTAAGTACCCCTAAGGCAAGTGCAAGGCTGCATTTCACAATGCTTCTGAAGCGGATCCCACTTCAAAGACAAAGGCTATCACAGATGCTAGCAGCCATGCTTTTGAAGACTCATGATTTCGTAGGATCCTACGATTACCCACCGGAGCATCAAGAGGAAAACCATAGCCCCGTCCTTCTGGAAGTAGTCCAGGTAGTCCACTTCCCGCAGAGGCATGTTCTGCAAGAGAAGGCTTTCTCGGATTCTGGATTTGAGGTTATTGCGATTGATACGGCTATTGCTGCGGTTGTCTTATACGGCCATTCTGTAATATGATCATAACTGCATCGATAAGCTAGCTCACTGGTTGGACTGCACGGCCCGAACGGGGGCCTCGTTCATCAGCTGCAAGTCCGTCGGCTTCTCCACCAAGTGAACGAAGCCGTAGGGCAGTGTGATCAGGATCTCATCGATCTGCACCCAGACAGCAGTGTCAGTTGGCCAAACAAACAGCACATGTGACATGTGGAGGAGAAAAGCGCACCACAGCAGACACATTCCCCGCATCTCCCTCTCAGGTTTCGTCCACCAGGTCATGGGCTAAGGTACATCATGTCTCATGTGCTGAGGGTTTTCCACTTGTCAGTCTAGCCCCGGGTCCGTCTACATAAAGATCTGCGAATTCAACTGTAGTTTTTGTTTTTGCGTCATAGCAGCTGCCTGGTATGTGTTGCGCTGGCCAGTCGGCCCCGGTCTAGGTGCAAGTATGTGTGCAGTTTGCAATATCTACATGTCTTTTTGTCTGTCCGTCTATCTGCACGTCTATCTGTCTGCGCAGATACTGTTGATGGACAAAATCCTGCATTACCCTTTATAGGGAATATACCATAGTTCCCATAGTTTAGAGTCCTTAGGGTCATGCAGGATTTCGTCCATCAACAGTATCCATCCCTCCATCCCCTCGGGGGGCTTTGTCAGTCCTACGCGCGCTGTCTCTTCAGTTCAACTCGAGCCTTGAAACTTTAGATACAAAAAGCGGCCTTGATAATTCGATTTTGGGGCGCCGTATACTATACTTATTGTACTATACTTATCTATACCTATAACAGGAATCCCCAAAACCCAGGAAAGCAATCGAAAAACACGAGATCGCCTGCTGGTCTGGTGCGACGATTAGATCAGGCAAAGACTCCAAGATGTCAAAGCTCACGGTGATGGTCCTCGGTTTGCAAATCAGGAATTTGGGATTCTGGCTTGTGGGTCTAGATTTGTGTCGTAGGTTTTCGGTGCATATATGGCTTTGGAGGTTCAGGAAGAGGTTTAGGAGGGTCACTTTGTCGGGCGGAGGCCACAACACGTCTTAGCCATTTGCAACAACTCAACAGCACCGTTGGCAAAGGTCAGTAAACTTCCCCGAGAAACACAGACCAGAGTAAGAATCGCTACATTCGACAAAGGCGTTGCTGCTGCTGCTGCCGCCGCGGCTGCTGCTGCTGCTGCTGCTGCTGCTGCTGCTGTTTTCTGTTGTTGCTGCACGGTTGTTCTAAGCAGCTGAATTTCTTGTAGCATTTAAGTCGACAGCACCGAAGATCATCACCACCGCCGCCGCCGCAGCAACAGCTGAAACAAACAGAGCATCTGCACAATCAACCACAAAAGGAACAAATGCAATGACAAGGACAAGGGCAACCACGGGATAAGCAAAATCTGAAAGACGCGGTAACCGTACACGCACCGTACCCTACGATGTCAAACGGAGTTCAGGGTCTCGGGCCCGCCAATTGACCATTCAACGGCCCTTAATGCGGAAGCCCACCACCATCAGGACCGTTAGCCCCAAGCCCGGAAAAACGTGCCCCTTGAGCCTACAGCATAAGCCGGAAACACGAAACCACAAACCCGGACCTAAGCTTTCAGCCCAAACACAGTGAGGCTAGCTAAAATCCTCAAGCTGGAAGCCCCAACAATCCCTAAGTCACAAACGTACTTAAGCCTTATAGTAGAAGCCAGAAAGTTGAAACATGGCTTTAGGAGGATTAGTGCTAGGATCCCCTTACTTTACCTTAAGGGTCTGAGGACAATGATGTTCCAACTTTCTGGCTTCTACTATAAATTTCAATCCCACAGCGACCAGGTCCCCCACGACTCGCGGAATGGCTTCGTGGAAGTCCAGAGCAACTGACCCCTGGCAAAAGGAAGCCACATGTGTTCTGCGCGGGCGGCGTGGGCGTTCTTTTTTCGGGAGTGGGGGCCGGGGAGGAGTTTGGGTTCTGGTTGACTGGCCCAATTCATGTGTCTTAGCGATTCGAAAGGAGGGGTTCTGAGTCAGGATGTTGCACTCTGGTCGTAATGTTGCTAAACACACTTACTTGGGCTTCCGGCGTCGTCGTAAAAAAGCCACTGGCTGAAAGCACGACTATGTGGGACTTGCTACTTGAAGTAGAACTTATTATACTATATAGATTGAAAGTATCATTCTGATTATATGCTCGCGCGCCCTTAGAAACAATCAATACAGTTAGCAGGTGCATAAATCATCCCTCGGAGCTTTGCTGTAACAAAAAGACTAATTCCTGAGGGTACTGCAACCATCAGAAGGATCCCCCAGGACGACGATTATCAGTGTTTCAAGCCCCAAAAGCAAAAAAGAGGACATGGAAAAAACCCTAAACCCTAAAACCCACCAGAAGAGGGCAAGGCAGGCTCTCGGATCCGCAGCTTGTCGAGCACTTTGGACCCAGGGATAGACACCTCGGAATTCGTGATATAGGGATATTAGGGTTTAGGGTTTTTGGATTAGGGTTTAGGGGTTAATACTTCGTAGACTACGGACTAGTATACTAGTATACGAGAGTGATTCTAGGAACCATCAAGGGATGCTCTTAGTAGCTACTTTGGCTTGTATGTACCATGTATATAGCAGGTGAGGTTCTGCAACGAAAATCGCCACGCCAAGCCCACGGGTGGCTGAAACAGAAACCCCCCGTTATCCCCGGTTTCCCAAAGCATATCCTGTTTAGGAGTTAGGGATTTAGGTTTTAGGGGTGAGGGATTTATTACGGGCTAGGGTGTAACTAGCTTCCGCAAAGGAGCCGAGCAGAGAGAAGCTTTGCATTAACTTCGACTCGAAGCAGCAGGATACATCGAAGTCAAGGGACAATCCGAGCAGCGTGCACGGTTAGGACTGTTCAGGGTTGAGAGAAGTCCTTTCAACTGCTGAACTTCAACTCAGAATCAAGCCACCTCCCTGCAGGCTGCAATGCCCCAATTCAGTTGAAAACAATCAGCAGGTTGGTACGACTGGTGTGTTGTTGCATGATGCTTGTCTGCTACTAATGCACCGTTTGCATGCACCACTTTTTAATTGAGTCTCTTTCTTCTGTCCTCTTCTCTGGCACACACTCGTTCTGACAGGTCTGCTTGCTAGCATATGTTCACGCGAATCTTGCAGCATATATACTACTGCCCTGGGCTTCCAAACGGCAGCATCCGAGACAGCGCCAAAGCGATCCTCCACGACGAGAGAGATCACAGCTTCAATCAGAGTGCGGCCCCTACTTAAGTAGCTGTTCAACCTGCAGAAGCCTGAAAGCAGCCACTGCACCGAGGAAACGACTTCCGCAGTTACTAGTGCCACGGCTGGTGCAGTAGCAGTTGCATGCGGTCTTCAAAATGAGCACTACTGTAACTTGCAGAGAGACAGCACCAAATCATGTCACGGCCATCATCGTTGAGGTCGTTCTGTCCTTGTCCTGGTGCTCGCCGGCGCCTTCACCATCACCATCATCATCATCATCACCATCATCATCATCATCCGCATCATCATAACAGAAGCAGCATCAACATGGCGCCACTGTGGTTGACAATGATGGTCGTGAGTTTTTCACGACGGCCCTGCGATGATGAAAGGCATCGTCGCCATTCTGCATCGTCATCACCACCGCCACCATCACCGTGATAATTCTGCTTCTACCCAGAGGCTCCATAGTAGTTCCTTTTTTGGATTACCTTATAGGATTCTATATATGAACCCCCAAAAATGAACTACTTTGGAGCCTTAGGGTAGCCGGAAGCCCTCAGCTGATCCCTCTTCCGTCCCGCAAGATGATCGACAGCTCGTTGAAAAGCGGAGTGGCGGCCTCATTGGGCTCTGGAAGCCCTTCGGCTTTCTGGGTTTACTATACGGGTTAGAGGGTAGGGTTTACGGCTTAGAGTTTAGGGTTTACGGTTTAGAGTTTAGGGTTTACGGTTTAGAGTTTAGGGTTTACGGCTTAGAGTTTAGGGTTTACGGTTTAGAGTTTAGGGTTTACGGTTTAGAGTTTAGGGTTTACGGTTTAGAGTTTAGGGTTTACGGTTTAGAGTTTAGGGTTTACGGTTTAGGGTTTAGGGTTTAGAGTTTAGGGTTTAGGGAATCATAAACGTTCACTGTAAGCGAGTCTTTACGAGTCACAACTGTAAGGACTGAAACAAAGCCTACTATACCAGGGTTCTATAAGGGTTACTACTTGGAGGACCAGGGGACTTAGTAAGTAGGTTATAAGTAGGGATATAGTTAGGGTAACTCCATTTAGGGTACTTATAACCCTACTTACAACCTACTTACTAAGTCCCCTGGGCCTCTAAGTATAAGGGCTGAAAGAATACGAGAACTTTAAGAAGACTGGGGTTTAGGATTAGGCCTCTTCTCTGGAGTTTAGCGCTTCTTGGCTTGGGGATTAGACTTTGGGGGTTTGGGGTTTAGGGTTAGAGATTTGGGTTCCCTTCACAAAGCTCAGACTCTGGGAGGTAATATGGGAGTTTCCGATTTTTCTGGGGGGTAACTTCAATTTTGGGATCCTTGAACTAAAGATCCTACTACCAGTATTTCGGGTACGATATTAGGGTCCCCTACTTTCGGAAACTCCCCTTTGGAGCTCGAGGGCCGCATCGCAAAGGCCCCGGCCGGAGGTGTGAGGAAGAAGGCAAAGACGTACTCGCGGGGGACCATGGTGGTGTTCCTCGACTCGACCAGTGTAGACTTTCAAGCTCCGTCAGGCTATGATTCCTACAGCATCGGAGGGGCGCAACCCTAAACCGTACTTCGATGCGACATCGCATGAGGCTCAAAGCAACTCTGATGAAATCTTCCGAGGGCGGCGCATGAAGACATAGAGCAAGGCCTCATTCCTTGGCGGTGCAAAGGTTTCCTGCTCATGAATCGGGATGGTTCAGTTCCAAGTGCCCCCACGACAACTATCTTTTAGCAGGGTTTATACGGGTTTAGGCTCCTAAACAACAAACCCTCTTGTAAAGCCGAACCCTACGCACTCGAGCTTGAGCCCATGCATCTGGAGAATCCACATTCTCTAACTTCGCACGCCTAGCGACACCAGATGGTTCAGCTCCTTTTGTCTCATCACCATCCCGAACCTTCTGCGCAGCCCTAAACCCTAAACCCTAAAGTTGTGATCCCAAGCCCTAACCCTACGGGTCCATGTACCCATATAGAGATACATAGGTCCCAATGTACCTATATAGGGACTACATTAAGGCCAATGTATATACTATATGAGTACATGGACCCTAAGCCCTAAGCCCTCCGACCCAAAACGCCGGAAGCCGAAGAGCCCGACATCTCTCAGCTCCAGGCACCACCCGGCAACCGCCTGTAATCGGAAGCGCGATAGCCTGCAGAAGGTGTTTCAGATGTCCACAGTTGTCTTGAAGATGCTTCTCCGAAAATCGTGTAGTTGAAACATAGACGACAATCCATGCAAGTCGTTCAATGACAGCGGAGATCCTTATGAAGGCACCGATGGCTGACAAGACCATGTACATTTCTGCAAATCCGGATAAGAAAACAAGGAACATAAATGAAGCAGTCCAGCACCGTGCAATCTCCTGGTGATGTCAATGATGATATGGGGGATGGCATTGATGTGCATAGCAGTAACCATAGTCTTCTTCAGCAATGTATACGATTATCTGCATCACCTGCATTCATGCTGTCGTGTGCTGGTTTGATGCCTCGAGCGCATGATTTTCATGACCGAGATCGAGTTCGCTGTCACTGGCATCACTATTATCACCATCAGATCTGTCACGAACACGGCCAGCATCATGTATATTACCAGCCGAAGAGTCGTCTTCTTCACCATCGACAGCATCATACTTGTCCCCCATAATTCTCACATGATGGCCGTTTTGAAGACTACCGTCGTCATACTCATGTTCCTCAGTGACATCGCCACGGTACTGCAGCCATTATGAACGTGGTCCTGGTTACTTTGACTTACAATGACAACGACGATCATCATCATCACCACCACCATCACCATAAACAGCGGCAGGAGCAGCGCCTCCAGGGTGGCCATGGAACATTCCGGCGCGAAGCCGAAGGGCAAGCGCACCTCGAGGTAGCCGCCGGCCTCCACAGCTCTGGAAGTGTTGAAATCTTGAGGCTGCGGGTCTGGGAGGCCTTTAGACACATTTCGGGCTCATTTTTGGAGAGCTTTGGGGGGCCGTAAGGACAGCTTGCATCACTCACTTCCATTGCTTGCGGATTCATTCCCCGCTGGCCCTCGAGCAAAACCATAGATTCGGGTTGGAAGACTCGGGGGGGGGGGGGGGTAGGGGTGGGGGGAAGGCGGCTTGGGCGTTGCATCACATCTTGCGACTTTTCAATACTTGTTTCGGAGCCAAACCGAGGTCGTCCGGCATGAGAAGCCTGAACCCTGCATGTATATGTATCACATGTATATATGTATATATACATATATACACCGACCTACCTACCTGCCTACAGCCATACATATGCATACAGATGTAACACTTTACATGCAACATTATAAATGCTGTAGAACGGTTGTGCACATGTTATATTCGTACGTGTTTCATAAATATAAATATAAACATATATACATATAAAAACATATTTATTTATTTATATTTAAATGTATATGTATACATAGAGGGCTACTCCCATTCACAGTCAAAGCAGGGCGGACGCCTGAACCATCTCTCGTGTTCGGAATCGCCACACCTTTGAGCATGCTGGCAGGCCCGGTGCTAACTGAGCGTCTCAGCCGCAACCCACGAAAATTAACTTTAGAGTTGAGCAGCCCATACTGCTGATGGACAAAATCCTGCATTACCCCAAGGACCCTAAACTATGGGAATTATGGTATTTTCCTTCTTATGGGTAATGCAGGATTTTGTCCATCAGCCGTACCTCTGAACACGGTGACGGTGCAGTGTACGAAAGCTAGAGCTACTTTGCAGGCTTCTCCCTTCGATCATCAGAGTTGTCATATATGTTCTGCGCCGAGGCACGATGCGACTTCGGACTCCAGTGAAGCCCGGATAGATGACCATAGTGTCCTCGCATGTGAGAGCTGCAACGACTCTCAAAACCTACTTCTCAGACGCCGCAGCTGCCTTCAGAAACTTCAAGGTTTGTATGTAATCCGGGGGCATGACTGCTTAGTCATAAGGTTCTTCATCGAATCATATACCCTTCTACTTCCTGAGACCTCGGTGCTCTTACACTCACGGAGAGTCCGATCAAGCTTGGCCCTAGTCTTGCCGCGAGCTCCACTAAAAGCTGAGTGTTCAGCCTTCAGGGATCTCAAAGCTGTTTAGGGTTTTAGGGGGGTACCCTAGGGTTCCTTTAAAGGGATCTATAAGGGGTACCTTAGGGTACCTTTAAGGGGGTCCATAAGGATTTAGGCTTTAAGGGTTTGGGGTTTGTAGGGTTTGGCGTTTAGGATTTGGGGTTTATAGGGCCTAGGGCTTATAGGTTTTGCAAGAAGAAAGTCGCGACGATGTCCTGCATGGGCAGCACGTCAATGCCGTCAGCTTGACCCCAACCTGACTGTTGAGGTGGGCATCTCCAATTCTAGGTGCCAGCAGCCTCATGTACAGGGTCCACACAAACTACCATTCTGGAATTAGGTCCCAAAAGACCATCCCCATCGTCGAAACTTCCAACTGCTGCGGGTACCGGCTTAATGCAGAGACATTGACTTAACGCAGAAGTCTAGTTCGCGGAAGCCCCTGAACAGGCTTTAACCTACAGGCTTCTTGCCACTCGTCTACCGGGTACAAGGAATACTTGGCATTCCAGTACAGTCACAGCCCTCTCCACAGGCGGACAGCCGAACCCTTAGCCACGGTTCGGTTTGGCGCTTTGAGGTTCCTTGCTTCGGCAGGGGCCCCGGCCGAGCTGCCGATCGGACAAGGCATCCACACCTGCAGATCAACAACGCAAGCAATAGGGTATAAGGTCGAGGGTTTATGCCGAGTTTAGGAGCATAGGATTTGGAGTAGGGCATAGGCTTTAGGACTTTAGGGCAGCGGTGAGCGTTGGACAGCTCGGAAGACTGTGAATTGCTGGTGTGCTCAGCTTCTTGTAGATTTCTCTGCTCAGGCATGTCGGATTGCTGCTTCGATCTGTCATCATGGTGCGAAGGACGCAAAAAACAAAGCTAACTGCTGTCCAGCATGCTTTCTGCAGGACTCAGACGGAGACGCGAGGTTCGTTTGCAACCACACATGGCATAAGTGTCGGCACTATAGTGTTTGGGCCTTAATATTTAGAATAGGGTTTTGGGCTTCTTTATAGCACTAACATAATCAGGAACCCTGAGGAATAATGTTCGAGATGTGGGAGTTTCCGAAAATTAGGGGTACCTTATTTTTTGGGAGGGCCTTATAATAAGGATCCTCCTATTTATGGTACTATATTGGGGTCCCTTATTTTCGCTCGCCGCAGAGGCGCCTTCTATGAACCACTCTTTGGCAACAGGCGTCTGCGTGGGGGAGTCGATCCGCACCCTGGCAGTAAATTGCAGCAGTGATATCGACGGTAGTATTAGAATGATGACATTAGAAAACAAGCAGAATGACAATGCTCGTAGAAAACTACAAGAAGAAGTATCCATATCCATGACCCGCGCCTTGCGACCCCTCTAATGCGCACTTACATACTTTCGGTCCCTGGCGCTCCCAGTTTCGACGGAATAGACTCGCCACTCTTGGGTTGTACTGCATGCCTGCAGCACAGTGTTCCTAGGACCAGCAGCCGCAAATGCACACGGTCCCAGTGACTTCCCTAGAGCCCTCTTGGAGGTGCACGGGACTTAGTAAGTGGGTTATACGTAGGGTAAACATTGGGGCATCTCCATTCAAGGTATTTCAACTCTACATAACCTACTCACTAAGTCCCCTGGGCCTGTAAGCTGCTGAAAGATCTGAACCCAGGCCTTTCACTTTGCTCTGACTTGGATGTGTAAATGGCTTCACGACCCCATCCCTGACTCCGACCCGCCAACCACTTAAGTCCTTCCGTGAAAGCAAGCAGGGCAAGCAGGATGCCAACGGCCATGCCCTCCAGTCCCACCTTGAAGCGTGTTTCTGGAGGGCTGGGGACTGGATTTGGAGACAGCAGTCGGCAAGAGGGAGCTGGGCTTCAGGGATTCAGAACCGAGGTCTCCAATTGAAAGGGCTGGCTGGCGTTTAACGAAGTGCACGAGATGGCCAGCTTGGTTATCCTTGAGACATATATTTGCGAAATGTACTGAAGCTGCAGCCCACTACACCCATGAACCTCCATACTCCACACCTCAACTGATGATTCATGATAACACATAGTGCTGCCGGCCCCATGTTCAGAACTTCATATCTCCCCTTGGGAGACAATGACGAAGCCTGCCAAACTTGAAAGTTTGGGTGGCGAAGATGACGGGAAGACGGTTTAAAACGCCACATGTATAAAACGGTGCACAAAAGGACAAGCACGGGAACAGTCGGACCGAACCAGGTCCAACAAACGGAACCCATTAGGCCCTGAACCCAGAAACAAATATCCCCAAACCCTAATAAGCCCTTATACCCTAAACCGTACGCCCCACCAAACCCAAAAGTCTAAAGCCCCAAAACCCTAAACACAGGACACGAAGAGAATGGCGACGATGATTTCCGTGACGATACTGCTGAAGAGACGAGACTGTGACTTGACGCCCTGTTGGGCCGAAAGGCTTGAACCCGGAGCTTGTCCCTAAACCCTAAAACCCTAAACCCCTAAAGCCCTAAACCCCTAAAGCCCTAAACCCTGAACCAAATCACTCCTACTTTGCATGTACATGATCAGTGGGAAAGAGTTTCTCATGAAATAGTCTTGGTAAGTATTTAGGCACCTGAACCCTAATATATGGGCCTTAATAATTTGAATAGGGTTTTGGGGTGCATATTATACTAGAACTAAAGTAAGGAGCCCCCGAAATAGTCTTGGTAAGTTTTTAGGCACCTGAACCCTAAGCCCGTTTTGTCCGACGCATCTTAGACTCGGACGGCAGGTGCTCCTCGGACAGTCCTGAAGAGACGCAGGATGCTAAGGCATACCCGGATATATATATATATATATATATATATATACATATGTATATATATATACACATATATATATATATATATATATATTAGGGGTTTAGGGTTTAGTTTAGGTTCACCAACATTTTGGTGTCGGTTACTACGACGTTTGTAGTTCCGTGAGGAGGGTGTTCAGGGGGATGTCTTGTGGGTATATAAGGATACATTTGGCGTTCACAGAAGGATTTGTTCAGTGTATAGGGGGTCTTCACAATTTAAATGCAAACTCAACTACTCAAGGAGACTGAGACTTGCTTGGGTTTATGCGGGCTTGATTTTGCAGGTGAGGAATGATTCAGGACGGATGGTTTCCAGGATTCACAGCGGATCAGGTTGGAGATTTTTCGCTCCGAGGTTTCCTGCTTTTGGTAGCGGACTAGGCAGTCTGCGACTGCCACTGCGTTGAGGGCTTCGCATGATTACAGTCCTTCTTTCTTGCTCGAATGAGGAATACTAGGCTCCCCTGGATCTCCTCTGTTCCGGAAATATGACGAATCTTTTGACTTGGCTGTGCGGATTCGGGCTTCAGGGGTTTCGGGTATAGGATGCGCCACCTCTAAACCCTAAACATCCCTAAACCCTTATAAACCCTAAACTCCTCTAAACCCTAAACCCCCAATGAAACCCCCAAACCAAGAGGAAGACTAAAGCAATGACACCCACCAGGACCCTCCTTGTACCCTCAAATAGGAATCCCAAATAAGGGGCATTTCGGGTCTAATGGAGGGTAGATGGAGGGTCTAGGCAGGAGTCCGATGGAACACGGACCAAGGCCGGCACAACTCTGCCGTGCTCCGACCGCTGGGCGTGACCTGCAACTTTTCGAGTTGAAGAATATTACCCAGAGATCCTTTTCCCCCTTAATTAAATTAAATTATAGGGGCCTTAATATTATGGAAGAAGGTATATTCCTGAATTAAGGGGTATTGGGATGTCTGGGTAGCCCGAAGAAATCCCAAAGGCTTGCTTTACGTTACGGACAATTCGAACGTACGCAGCTGGCTTTACAAATGCCGCCCAGGCAATAGGGTCGACCCAATCACTAGGTACTCGGTTTTAGGATAGTAGTTATGTAGGTTAGGATTTTGGAGAGTATATGCAATGATTTTTCAGTACCTGGACCCTTGAAGAGTGAGCCCACCGTCAAAACCTGAAGAAAGAACGAACACTGCCATAGGGGCCTTCGGAATTAGAATAGGGCTTTGGGAGGGCGGTATAATACAACCGTATTCAAGACTCTAAGGTTTATACTCCCAGTAAACGTTGCGACCCAAACCCCAGCAGTCCTGACAGCCCGACTAGTTCAACACCCCACAGACCGTACATGATGCCCTGTAAATCCCGAACCCCGAAACCCTGGAGCCACATGGAGGCCCAGGGGACCTAGTAAGTAGTTTATAAGTAGGGTTATAAGTACCCTAATTGACGTTGCCCCAATTATAACCCTACTACTTATAACCTACTTGCTAAGTCCCCTGGGCCCCCATCCCTAGAAACCGTAAAGCCACACACTTTAAAACCCCTGCCCCGCTTGCACCTGTCCAGGCACGCACGCTTCGATGTACACTGAGTCGCCCCTGGCCCAGACACCAAGTTTGCACGGCGCTTTCGCAAAAAATCCTATCTTAGGGTTCAGGGGTTTGGGTTTAGGGGTGAGGGTGTAGGAGTTAGGGTTTAGGGTTTACGGGTTAGGGTATAAACCCTAAGCCCCAAACCCGTAAACCCGGCACCTTAAACCCTACACCATAAACCCTAAACCCTAATCTTGGCAGGAGGACGGCCCAATGCAGTTCTCCGTGAAGTTGAAGCCGAGTGGAGCGATCACGCGCAGCAGCGTAGGCCTCAGCCGGGCTTGTCAGGGGCTCGGAATCTTACTGGTGCTTAAGGGGGAGTGGAGGAAGGAATATAGGGACTACTATGAAGATTATATACGGAGTATGAGATGCATCCACTCTCCCACTCCCTCGTAAGCACTTTGCAAGGAATCGATGAGGGTTCTTTTGTGTGTTGGTTGAAGGTTCCTGTAAGGGAGTCATAGGGGTAGTATAATCAGGCTTTTTTGGGGTGTTGGTTTTAGGTTCTAGACGGGTTAGGGTTCTTGCAGGGTTCTCTTCGGTGTCTAAGAGGGTTCTAGAAGATATCCAGAGGAGTTCTATAAGGTTTCTATACGGGATCTAACAGGGACGTTTATGGTTTATTTTGGGGTTCAGGATTCACAGATTATGGGCCTGTGGCTTAGGTTCGGTGGGGCCTGCATGGGGTTGGGATGTAGGCTTTTCGGGGATTTGGGGCTTCAGGGGTAGGGGCCTCGGGGTTTTACGAGTTAAGGGGTTAAGGAATTAGGTGTTCAGGCTGTGAATTTCGGAAATTCTTGTGGGTTGATCTTGTGATGTGTGTGTGTGTGTGACTTGTGTATGGCTGCTTCCTTGTGGCCGTCTGTTCACCCAGTCGAGCAGTTGTGCTTCTTGAGTGGACTCTGCTTTGCGATTCATCCAGACTGAGAGCCAATTTTGCGTTTGTATCATGAGTATCGCACTTACGCCAAACGCGACCTTGAAGACGAGATTCACCCTATAAGCCCTAAACCCTAAGCTGTGGCAAGGTTTTCTGCCGTGAGCCATCTCCAGAATCCTTGACTCGAAGGCTCAACCTCAGACCTACACCCCTAAGCCAAAAGACTCTAAACCCCAGTCTCAAAACTCTATACAACCGTTCCTTGATTAAGCCTCAACTTTTAATAGGTGATTATTCTACTTACGTTTGGTTAGTAAGGAATGGAGGAATGGGGTAGAATTATAACTACTACTACTACTACCATTCTTCCATTCCCTACTAACCAAAGGTTATTTCTAAGGCCCCTCTCTATACTAACTATAATGATAATAAGGAATCCCCAAAATAGTGCAGGTGATTATTCAGTAGCCCCCAGAGCCCGAGTGCCCGGCGCATCGAGGGCTGGGGTCACATCGAGGCTGACGATGATCGAGGCGAGCGGTGGCGAGCGAACAGCCTTGGGCTTTAGGTTTTAGGGGTTTAGAAGGGTTTAGGGTTTTAAGGTTTTAGGGGTTTAGAATGGTCTAGAAAGTTTGGGGAGTTTAGGGCTTTTGGAATTTCAGGGTTTAGGGTTTAGGAGGTTTGAGGGTTTAGGGTTTCGGGGGTTCAGTGTCCTATAGGTCCTAGAATGCTGGATCTAGCTTTTGCTGTATCCTAATGAACTGGGGTTCGGGTGTTGTCCTGGCAGCAATGAATCAAACGTGAAGGGATCCAGTCTGCTCCTTCTATGTAATACTATATTACTATAGCTGATAAAAGCAATCATCGACACAAAAACAACCATGCACAAAGCGATAACAACAACCCTGACACCACGACGATGTTGACCATCACACTAAAGAAGGATCACAACACTCATGACATTCATGCATCCGGAAAGGAAGCCAGAATGCCCGACCTTTGAGAATGTCGGATATTAACCACGGGCTTCTCTAGTCTCCACAGCCATTGGAGTTGAGTGGCATTTGTTGTTTCGGCAGTGTACTTCATACACAAGACGTATGCTTCGCTGCAGGCTGCGAGTTTACGAGCCTGGTTATCAAGACCACCAGATAATGGACCCGAGTCGTAAGAAATCCACTCCCCGCGAGGTAGGGAAGTTCCGTGTGAGAGATGAGCACCGAGCCGACACCATGAAGCGGTACTCCTCCACAATGGGAAACCTTTTAGGGGCTGGGAAGGACAGCTTAGGCTTCGGGTTTTACGGCTTAGGGCTTAGGACCTCGGGCTCTTATGCCTCCAGCGCTGCTCTTGCAGGGATTTGTGAACCATGCCTGATGGTTCTGGGAAATGCACACATTAGGGTTTTAAGTCTCAGGGCCGCGATACTGGGTTGAGAATTTGGAAGGTTTGGGCGGCGGATAGGTTGTCTGCACCGCCGTGAATGTTGCGTTTCTTCGGCCTGCAATCCGTCAAGCGTTGCTACAAGTATTCTACGAGCACCCTCACCCTACTTTGGCACCCTCGAAGTCCCCCCAAGCTAAACCCTAACCACAACCTAACCCTTAATCCGAAAATCCAAACTCTCAGAGCCCAAGACCAAACAACAAAAACTAAACCACTGAGCCCACGCAAGCTCTATCGAAAGCTAAAACCAGTCCAAACTCTGAAACCCTACCCTCAAGAACCTCTGCAACATGCCTGACATCCCTGATAGGAGCCCTTGTAGCAGCCCCAGACAAAGCCAAAGCTATTGTAGTCTCTCCGAGGGCTCCGCTCGCGTGAGTTGCCATCGTTGGTGTTCGTCGGCAGCTGACCCAGATCACGGGTCTCGATGAACCTGGGTCCCAGAGCCTCCAAAACCCCTTAATTAAGGAATATACCTTAAAGTATAGTAGGATCCATAATATGATTTAAGGTAGATTCCTTAATTAAGGGGTTTTGGAGGCTCTGGGGTTATATAGGGTGTAGGGTTTAGGGGTTAATGTATAAGTACAGAATATGTGTCTTGTTATTTGGGGGGAGAGTTATTAATCGTTACAACATGTGAATTTGCATGTGGACTGAAGGGATACTATGATTCACCATTCCGACAGCCATATTGGGGTCTTGTGTCTGTCCTGGACCCGAAGGGAACTCAGAGCCCCTCTCCCCAGTGAAGCCACTGAACCCGAACGAACGCCCTTCATCGAAAACATCTAGAGCAATCCACCCATAGATCCTACTAAAGCAAAAAAACCCCAGATCTCGTAACCCCAAAGGATAGCCAGAAACATTGTAACATAACCTGCACCCTAAATCCTAAACCCTAAATCCGAAATCCCAAGCCCTGAACCCTAAATCCTAAACCCTAAATCCCAATACCCTGAACCCAAAATCCTAAACCCTAAACCCTAAATCCGAAATCCAAAACCCTGAATCCTAAATATGACCCCGAAACCTGGAGACATGAAACCCTGGACGAGCAGACCCCCCAAACCCTGCAGGCTCCCTGCCACTGAATTACAGCGCCATGGTCCTGGCACGTAATAATACAACATAATGCAATAAGGATAATAATAACAACAATGCTAGCAACAATAGTAATAAAACAAAAAATGATAATAATAATAATAATAGTAATAATAACAATAATGATACGAATAGTTAACACAAATGATAATCATGATCACAAAAATTAGGGGCTCAATTCCTTGCTTCTTTGGGCGCGGCTGGAGGCTTCGGAGTCTTTTTGCACTCAGACGCAAAGGCGTGGGGTTCAGGGTTCAAGCACGATATAGTATTTCACGTAGCTTTTCGGGCTTTGCCGTGCCCGGAGGCACTATAGCTTCCGTGTGCTATTATGCAACAAGTGCACCTTGCGAGATCTGGCAAGGTTGATCCGAGAGGTGCTCATCGATGCTGATCTTAAAGCATAAGAAGTGATCTGTTTCCCGGTGTCGCTGTTCTCCGAAGACAACTTTGCATCAGGCACACACGTTTGTCTCCCTTGGCTTGGATATGTATGACTCACCAAGGCATTTCCAAAGGGGACTCGAATGCGAGAATGGCCATGACCATGCAAGGGCCAGGGATCGTGCTAGTGGCAGTTCAGGGCTGCTGGATTTGGGTCTAAGATAGTTCCTATAAGACGCTCCTACATTATATAAGGGTTGCTGCAACGGTCAGGGCTTGTTTGTGTGGTGCAGGGAGTTTGCACCCTGGACAATAAACCCGCTAAAGAACAGCCCATGCAACTTACAACCCCACAAACCTGATCTCGAAAGCCGTCTCACAATGAAGCCAACAACACTTACAACACAGCTCAGAACCCTGTTGCCCTGCAGCCCTAAAGCAGTCTGCAGCCGTGCTCCAACCCCCGAGTGGCCTTCGCCGCTTGTGCTGTGGGAGCGATCACAGAGGTGACCACTTCGTAGCGACGGTATGGAATGAGCCTTAGGTCAAGGCATCGGTATAAGAGTTTGGGGGTACATCGTGTCAAGGCTGCTGTGACTCAGAAACAACTTGCTTCTTGCCCTGAACGTCTCTTGGTATGCGCCCTGATGCTGAGGGCGGCTCGGTTCCAACAGTCTGGCGTGGATTTGGCCACCGAAGACAGTGGTGATCTGCACAGGAACTTCTCGATGGTTAGAAAAGCGTCCCAAGTAACACAGGAACTTTTTAGGGCCTGTACTGTACGGGGATACTCTAGGTAACTACTGCAACCTCTATATTATGCTCTTCGGGCTTTGCAGATCGGGATCGTGAGGCCGCAAATTGCCCTGGCGCTGCAAAGGGGCACCCTTTCCCTGCTGAAACCAATAGGGTTTCTGCTGCGGCTCTTCTTTGTGGTGGCTACCTTGCAAGACTGCTTTTGTCTGAGGATGTGGAGGTTTCTGTAGAAGGACGATCATCAGCACTCGTTTGCCTACGAACGACTTCACGGGGCTCGACAGTAGCTGGTGCAACAACGTCCACAGAATAAGTGACATCCCGACTTGGCTGGCAAATTGAATCACTTCCCAACCGCCTCGTTGGCAACTGCCTTCTTGACGACCGCATTGCTGGAGATGCTCTGACCAATCGGGCTCTCCTTGTATCGGCCGTTAAGTTGACACTGCCTGGGGCTCCAGTAACCTCAATGGGAGTTTCCGAAAATTAGGGGTACCTTATTGGGGGTCCTCATAGGGTCCCCTATTTTAGGAAACTCCCAAATAGTAGGTTACTAACCATATATAATGTACCCCAGTCACCTGTTTAGGTAACTTGAGCTCAGGGACTGCTTAATTATATGGGCTATGCAGGCTGACCCCAACCGGACCAAAGAGCTCAAGCGGTCACCGAATGCCACTTCTGACGGCCTGCCTCCACGACGCCCGGGAAACACAAATTCAGTCCCGAACCCTCGATCCCTAAATCCTGAAAGCGTGTAAAGCTTTCAACCCAAAAGTCTGGAAACCCAAATCATCAAGACGCAACGAAATTCTGGGGGCCCGAGCAACCAGCGTAAAGATACTCCGTGTAGGCTGAAACGGCCAGGCCGAGATCATCAGGAAGTCGCCCACCTGGGTTTCTTGAGTGTATGCGTCTACGTGTGTGGGTGTTGCGGTTGCTGATGTTGGTGTGTGTGTGTGTGTGTGTGTGTGTTTGTGTGTGTGTGTGTGTCTGTGTCTGTGTGTGTGTGTGTGTGTCTGTGGGTGTGCGTGTGCGTGTGCGGGTGCATGTGGGTGTGTGTGTGTGTGTGTGTGCGTGTTGTGTCTATGTTGTGTGCGTATGTGTTCTCTCCGTGTCTGTCTGTGTGTGTGTGTCTCTGTGTGTGTACGTGCACGTGTGTGTTGGTGGGAAGGGTGCGACTAGGATTTCGAGGTGTAGGGTGTAGGGCTTGGGCCTTGGTACTGCCGAGTTCAAAGTGAGGGGCCGTGTGGGCCGTGTCGGTAAAGCCTCAAGCAAACTGTACGTAGTCACATTATGTTTGCGACCTCTTGGCAGCAAATTGGAATGCTTGCTGCTTCCAGTAGCAGCATCCACTGCAACTATCAACATCACTAGCCCGTTAAGATACGCAAACACACAACACGACAAGGATGTTGCTCGCGTCCACAGCACAAGTTCCAATGCCCAGCTGCAAAAGTCAAGACTTCCAAACCAAACCCTCATCCCTGAATCCTGAACCCTGACTCCGAATTCCCAAATCCTAATTTGACAAACACGTTAAGCCCTAAACTTTAAACCCCAAACCCAGCAGCTTCGTTCCTGAACCTCACCTCCCAAGTTTAATGTAGACTGCGGATTCATTGAATCATACTGCGGACTAGTCTATCCCAAGATTAAGGCCCTTCGTTGACCAGGGCCTCGCTACTATTAAGGTCCTAATATCTCTATATGTTGAATATTATCCAACTGTTACTGAGTGGGGGCAGTACCCAATCCCATAACACCCTGGGTCTGTGTTCTGTGATCCCGTGTCCCAAAACCCTAAACCCCAAACCCTAAACCCTAAGCCCTGTATAGATCCCTTCGAGGAACCCTTAGCTTAAAGGAACCCTAACAGATCCCTTTAATCAAAGGATAAAAGGAGGGACCCCTAATAAGGACCCCTAGGTATATACCCATACCCATTATAGGGTAGGGGTCCCCATTAAGGGTCCCTCCTTTTCCCCTTTGATTTAAAGGATCTTACCCAGGTAGCCTCGGCTTGCACCGAGATGTGGAAATGGAACTCTGCATAGGCTGGGCCTGTTCACGGCAGGATTGCGGGTTTGGGGTTTGGACTTATGGGGTTTAGGGCTACAGAGTTTCAGGGTTTAGGGTTTTAGGGTAGGTATTAGGGTCCATAGTGGCGTCCGTGTTTTGGGGTCCATGGTAATCTGAGAAAAACCGTGAGGTAGGCTAAGGGCTGAGGATCTCTATCAACTCCACTCTCTTCGTCCATACTGGGGTCTAGCGATACTGGAAGTTTCCGAGAATATGGGACCCTAATATAGTTTCCCAAATAGTGGGATCCTTATTCCCAAATAGTAGGATCCTTATTATCAGGAGCCCTAAATAAGGTACCCTTAATTTTTGGAAACTCTAAGCCCCTTATAGAGCCCTTTAAAGGAACCCTTATAGTACCCTTATGGTAACCCTTTTCGGAAACTCTCACGAATGTCCTACAAGAGGCTGAACCTCAGTACACATGCAGGTCGTCGGGCTGAAGGTTATAGGGTTTAGGGCTTATAGGGTTTATGGTCTTAGGGTTTAGGGTTTAGGGTTTATAGGGTTTAGGGTTTAGGGTTTGGGTGTTGGGCTTTGCGGGTCAGGGCCTAAAGGCATAGGGTTCGGGTTTGGAAATTAAGTAAATGTAAGCACATCAAAAGTCGATATGACAGAACTGAGGTGGGAATTCCAAGACATGAAACTGCCAGAGTATGTACTGGCTGGGGATGTACAACTTGATTTCAAAATAAATCCTGCATTACCTGAAGGACCCTAAACTATGGGAATTATGGTATATTCCTTATTATGGGCCATGCAGGGTTTATATCATCAACCGTAGTATAGCTATGATGTACTGGCAGTTTGTAGGGTCCTCAAACTTCTCCTTGCACTACTGAGCAGCAACCACAACACCTTCTCTCTCCTCCTCCTCTGCCTGCTGCCTCCTCCTTCTATACTACTACTGCAACGAAGACCACTAGAATACCTTTGCTTTTCTTGGCGCCGAACGTCCCATTTGCGTGTTCCAGAGCGACTGCTCCGGGTAGGTGAACCTAAGCCGGAGCAAAGACTTCCCGAGACCGAGTATAGCAAACCCCATTAAACTGGAAACCGGTTTAAGGCCGAATAGTGCTGGGATTCCCTATACATTATTTAGGCTTCTACTGTAGAGAGGGTTTAGGGTTTAAGTTAGAGCAAGACAGGCGGCCAGAACAAGAAATGTCAGAAAAAGAAGAAAGAAGCAGAATACTGTAAGCGCCTTTAAAATGAGAATAGGGTTTTGGGGGTTCCTTATTATGGTTATAGTATAATATGTCCCCAAGCCCTGTTCTAATTGTTAAGGCCCCTATCTTAGCATAATAAGAAAAGGACAAGCAGACATGGGAACAGCACCCAGTACCGTAGCCATCCCAGAGGCAACTCAAAGCAGAGTCCACAACAACAGAAAGCCACGACAGTACAAAAGCCATACCATACACATCACCACGACCATCACTCCCACCACCAGCACCCCGACAACTAAATCCTCACCACCATCAATCAACACTGCCACCTCCAGTAGCACCACCAACAGGGTCACGGCCACCGCCAGCAACGACAGCATTATTCCCACCGCACATAGACGATCCTTTGGCGGTTGGCTTGTTAGCACGAACTGCTATTATCATGCATGTGTCTTGGCATTGGTGATGGTCACTGCTTCTGATGACGACCGCCATGCAGAATATGGTGTTTAGTACGGTGGTGATGATCATCATGGTGCTGGTGATAGTGCTTGTGCTGCTGATGATGATATTGATGATGATGATGGTGATGCAGGTGAAACACAGTTGCTAAGGATGAACGGGGTGAACAGCCGTTGTCATGAGAATGATGATGATGAACAATGGAAGCAGCATGATGAGATGGCCATGATCGTGATTTGCGCAAGCAGTCTTGACAGTGTTCTTGGTGAATAGCAAGAGGAAGTTCGCCCGTCGTGGGTTGTTAAGCTTTCTTGGGCCACTTCACTAGGTGAAGCGAGGCAGCGCAGATCTTAGAGACACACAGGTTGCAGTTGGCCTATGCGCCGATGTTGGTGTAACTTCTCGCAGAACTCCGCCCCACGGCAATCCCGCACACACGCAGACAGTACATACTGACTGATAGAAGTATGTCCACGGAAACTACATGCACACGCGAGTGCACACCAAGAGATAAAACCACAAGGTACGAAAACCACAAAGGTCTCATTTTACACATGAGTGAACAGCATTCAGAGCTTCTGGCGGATCCCGCTGGAAGGTGTTCCTTGGCTGGTCCGTGCTGTTGAAACAGAGAAGATGTGCGTGTTTCGTGTTTGATGTGCCATCCTGCATGTGTATACAAACCTGCATACCTGTATATACAAAATCACATATACATGTGCATAAAGCAATGTATGCATATCTGTATGCATCTACATGTGATGGGTCGCTACGTATGTCTTCAAACCGATGGCATAATGCAGTATACAAGACACTTTATCATCAATTTGACATGAGACTAGCCTCCTGGTGTGTTTGAGTTGTAGTGCTGCAACCGTTAACACTCTTCGTGAGTCAGGCAGGCCATACGACTGCTCCCTCGTCTGGGTGAAACTCTCGAGCCGCCATCTAAGCCCACGCTTGTTCGCAGCCTTTCTGGGAACTGACACTCCAACATGAAACACACAAGATATGAGATACAATATGAGCGTTGTTTATACTTAACTTACGTGTATGTGTATAGGCATACGCATACATACATATATACATACATACATGCATACACACACACACGTGTACATACACGAACACATACATGTATATACACATATAAATATACGTGTATAATGATATGAATATATATATATATACACGTGTGTGTGTGTGTATGTATATGTATATGTGTATTATATAGTTCGTTCTTACGTTTTCAACTTGTGATATAGACACTGTACATATACTTGTACCTATACTTATACATATACATATACATAAACAAGTACCCATACATATGCCTACATTACATACGTACATACATGCATACATATACATACATATACATACATACACTGCACACAAACAAAACATGCATACATACCTACGGCCATACAGACATACGTACATACATACATACACACATACGTGCATATATGCTTATGTGCATATGTGTGTATGTATGCACATGCATGCACATGTATGTGTATGCACAAGTAAGTAAATTGAGTGAGTGAATGAGTGAGCAAGTACGTAAGTATTCACAGATGTATGTATGTATGTTTGTACGTATGCTTATGTATGTATACCTATACAGAAACATATGAGTGTGTGCACATGTCTGCTTATGTTCAGCTGAGCTCAATGGTCCAACAAACTCGGATGCCGACACACCTATCGCAGGCGGACAACAACCATGCATCCTTCGGTTTGCTAATTATAATATGTTATCGCCAACCATAGTATGTTAAAGTATATGACTGTATTTTGGAGTATGTTATAGTACATGATGACATATTAGAGTACTGATACTATAGTACAGCTAAGGTTCTCCAACTTGTCGTAGAGGATTTCCACTCTGCCGGGCCTTGGATTTCAGCAACAGCTGTGGCATTTGGAAGCTTCCTGTTGAGATTAGGGTTTAGGGTTTAGGGAAACTTCCGCGCTGCTACATTGCAGCGGAATCTAGGCTGAATTTCTGATCTGCGTCCGAATTGGCCTCAGTGTGATTTAGTCTGGCGGTCTAGCCGGATCAGATGCAAAGCTACAAGCACGTTTCATGGGTATGCCGCATTCGATTAGACTGCTTCAGAATCGAAGCTCGACGCCCTGCTGAGATTCCTCGCTAAATCCTTCTCCTACCTTTGGTTAGTAGGGAATGGAAGAATGGTAGTAATAGGGTTTAGGGTTTAGGGTATGGAAGAATGGTAGCAATAGTAGTTATAATTGTACCCCGTTCCTCCATTCCCTACTAACCAAAGGTAAGCTTAGCGTGCGGCAGGCGGAAGCCATTCCGGAAATTGAGCCGCTCGTCCTCGAGGCCGTGGACAAAGTGACTAGGGACTAGGGCTCCCTTCATGGCACTTGCCCAAAGATAGTAGGAAGTAGTAGCAATAGTAGTGATTATGCTAGCAATAGTAGTGCCAGCAATTATAGTAGATATAGTACTTAAGGGTACTGATAATAGTGGCAATGATGCCCTTTACGTTCCATAATTTACCTAACTACGGTTTGTAAGGATCATGGGAATGCTACGACTGTACAGTACATACACCCTAAACCCTAAACCCCAAACCCTAAACCCTAAACCCTAAACCCTAAACCCTAAATCCTAAACCCTAAACCCTAAACCCTAAATCCTAAACCCTAAACCCTAAACCCTAAACCCTAAATCCTAAACCCTAAACCCTAAACCCTAAATCCTAAACCCTTTTGAAGCAGGAACTGGATTAGTGAGTGTCCAACCACACAAACGAGCACACTTTTTGGTCTGAGCCCAAGACGTCTGTCATACAGGGTGCGTTCAGAACTAACACAAAAACTACGCTCGCATGAGGACATGTCAACACGGCGCTTCAAGACAGGGAAATTTCACACCCGTCTTATCTGTAGTGTGACGTCCGAATCATGCTCGAATTTGATCGCTTTGGACCAAACCTACTTCACCGGATTATACCGGGAGCTTGCGCAGTCAACCGAGCCGAGTGCGGCGACTCAAGGCTCTAGGCTGAGTTCTTCAATCGCGAAGCGGAGTGCTTTCGGTACTCTCGGTATTCTGTGCGGCTTGCGCGGGCACATCGAGTACCTGAACGAGATTGCGATCAATGCTGTGATTGATCAAAAGCGGTTTCATACTCTTAGTGAGACAATCCGCAAGTTGTAAATGCGTCGGTATCCATCTCAACTCATCGCCACAGGGATGGTACAGGACGTGCGTTAGCTCGTCCTCTTCCCAGAGTCCTTGGCGAAGTCCGGACATCTCTATGGCAAGGCGTTTATCCTCGCAGGACTTTGGAATCGACGCTGTCAAGTGATCCGAAAGGGACCTGCAGTCCGTATACTGCAGGTGGAACATCGATCTCTTGGCGACTTCTTCCCAGTTCTGTGACCGGGGCAGTTTGCCGAGTACTTCGAGTACTGCTGCTCGAATCTCCATGCTCTATGGCATGTTGCAACGAGTAAGCCTCACACTGCAGTGTGGCTCGACAAACCCGTTTCATGGTGGACGAGGAAAACGAAATGAGGTGCATCTCATGCGTTGGCGCGTTCTTGTCCACCGCCGACTGTGCGGAAGTGAGATAGTGGAAACGGCCTCTCTGCGACTTATGGTTCGCCTCTCCTGCAAAGGAGGCGTCGCAAAATGTGACGACCGCCAGCTCCCCTGTATTCCAGGGTAACTTAGCGCTGTACGTGATCGGCCTATCCGCATCTCCTAACGCCAGTGCTACTACGCGGTTTGCTTCACGGAGCGTATCCACCGTGGCTGTCGTAACACGTTGCTGCAGGGCATTCACCCTATAGGCAAGATCAGGTCTCGTGGCGCGGGCCACCCAAGCCAGCGATCCTATGACGGATCTCAGCGCTGTGCGCTGGCCATTCGAGACTGGAGTCGTGCCCTTTTCAGATTTATGTATATCGATCGGGCGAATTGCACGCGTGTTGTCCCTACAGTTTATACTGATGGTCCCATCGGCGCTTTGCACATACTCGCGTCCGCAGAAACGGAACTTCTCAGTCTCTATGCGACCGATCTTAAACTTATCCAGCAGATTCTGGATAGCCGGCTCGCCTTCGGCGGTAGCAGCCCACAGGAAATCATCCACGTGGGTGCACAAGCAAGCGCACAAACGACCACCTTCTCCTGTAATATAGTACAGGGCTGACAGAATTTGCGAGGCATTTAAGCCAAATTCTCGGCAACTCTCCTTTATACGGAGGTAAAGGTTCCGACCCGCGTCGGTGGTGCCGTACACGGGTACTCGGGCAATCATATACCCGGCTCGCTGAATCTCTGCATCGGGCACACCCTTAGGGTGTTTGGGAACCCGAAGAATGAGGAGGCGCTCAAGGGGTTTCCCTTGGAAGTATGCGTTCGTTATATCGGCTGCTTTGAGCCGCAGGGCCAACGAAACCGCCCATGAACACAGAAGGGCTATACCTTCCGGCTCGGCCGTAGGGCTGTCTGCCCTGATATCCTCCTCATTCGAGATATGCTCGAAGTTTCCACATGCGACCAAGCGTGCTTTCCACTTGGGAGTGTATGCTGCTGTCCCCTTTAGGTGTTCATTCTTATCGGTAAGAACCCATTTGGTGGGGATACACACGTGGCCAGCCTTTGTAAGCTCCTTAAACTCCTTGTCTGTGCAAGGGACCACTGCGTTGAATTCAGTGTACTTCTGCCATTCAGTCTTCATGGCAGCATCCAGCCCCAGCTGTACCTCTACAGGGGCCTTATGGTAATCCAGGAGCGAGGCCATGTAGCCAGCATCGACATTAGAGCCGAAGGCGTCTTCCCCATCAGGGGTGAGAGCAAAGGCCTTGGATTCCGCCTCTCGACTATCCGGGGGCTCAACTGCTGGCACTGTCGTGCCAATCGCAGCTGTGTGCGATGCTGCTGCCAGTCCGTCGTCTTCCTCAGGAATGTATTGACACGGGTGGGCTTCTGGCAGTCCGTTAGCACGTATGTGCTCCGCAAGTTTCGAATGCTCGAGCCATATGTGCTGGGCGATATCTCGCCGATGGCATCGCCGCCAACTGGCCTCCGAACACAACAGAAGTATTCGGTGAAAGTCATCGTGAGCCTCGCTAACTATTCTAGCGATCGTACAGAGCCCTTGGTCTGTTTGCAGGTTGGCTTCAATCCCGCCCCGATTCCTATTGCCTAACTCGGGGGCGTGACTGTACACAACCCCTTTTGCAAAGCATGTGGCAGAAAGCTCATCACAATTGTATTGTGGATGCCGAACGCTGTACGGGTGGCTTCTGCAATCTACGATTTCCTTAATCCCGTACTCGTGGATGCGCTCTAGGAACGTCTCGATGGGAAGATCAGAGTGACCCATGGTGTATATCCCATCGCCTTTCCTGCCAAAGGTGTTGGGCGCATCCCTATATATGGGGTAGCCTAGATCCGACAAAAGCTGTATGTCATCTTTAGACAACTTACCGAGGTCACTCACCGTGTATGCGGAGAGACTGTATCTTTCTCCTACAAACGGTGCGACCATGTGCACGTCCTTCGGGCGAAACTTAAGAACCTTGTTCTTAGTATCATGGACGGTGCCATACATTGTCGTGTTTTGAACACGCACGGGAGTTGTACCCGTGGCTTCTTCCACCCATAGGCCGCCTCCACGATACTCGCCCACACCTATAGTGTAGTTATACGAGCCAGGAGTGTTCGCTAGGTCTCTATGGGCCTCTGCGCCTCTGTTGGTAAGCTGAACGCTACTCCACTGTGGAAGATGGTGACCGGCTTGCATACTGTGATGCAAGAGGTAGTGGTTGAGGTACATGGCGAACGACGGTCTCTCGCGCGTTGGTCCAGAGACACCAACAAGACCACCGTGCCGATATACTCCCACCGCGAGGGCTATGCTCCCGGGATCTCCGTCATCTAGGAGCGGGCGCGTGTACGCCTCGCGTCGGTCGCGGTCATAAGCGCGAAGGAGGGCCAGACACTCATCTGGAGAAAAACCCTGAGCATCTATCAGGCCTTTTGCCATGATCTCTACTTGATCAAGCTCTTCTGCAACTAGTGCGTCATCACGGCCTCCTACTGGCGATCGCGACCGGGCGGTTTCGCCCGTCTTATCTTTGGCGCGAAACCTTGCAGGGGTAGATGGCGCTGGCATCGGTGTGCCGGGCATCATCGCTGGCGTCGATGGTGCTGGCATAGGCACATCGTGCGCGACTGCCGGTGTAAGCGGGGCAGCTGCAGCCACTGGACGTGGCGTCGCTGGTGCTGTGACCGGATCCGCTACGCGCTCATCCTGGAACCTTTGTTCCGGCCCATGTACGATGGCTTCCGGAAGCACTGGTTCACCTGCCAAAACGCGGTGCGCTGCAACTTCGATTTCATCAGCTGGGCGCATCTTCCTAGCGTTCACAAGTACAGGGATATTCTCGTGTAATACCCAGTACGCATTCTCTGCCTCACGTCCTATGACGCGGCTAACCGTGGACCATACGACTCCTGGGCTGCCAGGGACGTTGTCCCGACGGTAGATAACTAAATCACCAACCTTATAATCAGTGTCTAGAGGAGCTGCATTACGCTGTAACGCTTTGGCCACTTTGCGGGAAGTCTCTAAATGAACAAAGGCCTTCTTGGCTTCCTGCCGCGCTCTGTGCCGAATGTAGTATACACTCGTCTCATCATACTTGGTGAACAATGTACCAAGACTTTCGGATTCATCTAGCACGGAGCCCGGTGTTCGAGGCTGCTTTCCCAACACGTGTTGTGCTGGGCTAAACCCTTGGTGCCTACTAAGCTCGTTCTTAGTAGTAACGCTCTCGGTAACGACCGCCTCCATCTCCTCGATATTCGAGGGCTGAGTCTCCTGCGCGACTTTTCTAATGATGGCCTTAGCAAGTCCACCATGACGTTCGACCTTTCCAATAGTCTGCGGACTCTCGAGAGGGGCGTTCTTATGGATTATACCATGCTGTGCCAAATACTCTGAAAATTCTCCCCTGAAGTGCGTCCCTCTGTCAGTGGTTATGACTTTGGGATGTCCAGCCCAGCTGATCCACCTGTCAATCAGGCATTTCACACACTGGCGGGCACTTGGATTACCACCCCCAGATTTCACGAGCACAACTTGCTGGAAACTGGTTCCCATGTCAACTATATTGACAGCAGTATAGCGATTTCCGAAGAAGTCCTTGACCTCTAGCGCATCCATTCCTATCGTATGGTTGAATTCCTTTGGAAACACGCTATCACCTGCGACAGGATGGTGCCTGGGCACTGGAGCTGTGTCCAGGCAGACCTTACACTTGTAAAGTCCGGCAGCGGCGATGAAATCTTTG